GAGTGCCATTTCAGCCTGTGTTCCAGGCAGTGGGGGATCCAGGACCTGGAGGTTGAGAGTCCCATGGCCACATCTGGCCAGGCTACATCTGGAGTTTCAGATTTCATTCTAGCTGTCACACTGGGTTGGGTTCAAAGAGGATGAGAGGAGCTATATCATCAATGGCCAAAGAACCAAAGAACAAAAACACCAAGAAGGATATGAGAGGCCATCATCAAGGGTTTTGTGCAAGAGGCGCTAGTCCCACACAGGCAGGGCCATTAAAAGGAAACAGCCGTGCCTGTATCAATCAAATGAAGAATTTTTGTAGAAGTGCCCCTGGGAAGGATTGCATGTGTCAAATGGAAAGCATCCTATAAAACATTGTTGCTATCATTTAATGACAGGAGAACAATGCCACATTTGGAGAAAAGAGAGAGGGAAAGAAAGAGAAAGTGCTTTGAAAGTGTAAAATATTACAAAAGCAGTAAATATTTGTTTCTAGGAGTGGGTGCTAGCATTTAGGTGGCAAAACTTCAAAGGGCCAGAGATAAAATGTATTCTTGGAACTGGAAATTTGCTTGAACTTTGTAGTAGTCAAGGACCATGTTGTTTGAGTGTCAGGAAGACGGTTACGTTGATAGTTTATTGGGTTTCCAATTCCAAAGCTAGATTAGCTTTCTGGCAACTTTAAAAAGTTTTTTTTTTTCATCCTGTTCTGTGTTTGGGTCAGTAAAACATTCAAATAGTTCAGAATTCAAAGAGCAAATAAGGGAACATTCTGCAAAATCCTCTCTGCCAATTTCTGTCCTCCAGCCATTTAGTGTCACTCTGTAGAGCAAACTAGTGTTACAAAAATCTCTTGTTTTTATGTTCATCTTCCTCTTTATGCATTTTTCTCAAGATGAGAAACAAGGAAATAAGGGTTTCCTGACTTTCTGGCTATGTGACATCCCACAGGATAATCCCTATTCATGATTAAGTCAGGGATGACCCCAAGAGGTTTAGGGAGAAGTTTTCCTTGAAATAGCAGACACACGCTGGAGCCTATTTTGCTTTTCTGCACTCCCTTGGCCAGGTAGTTAAATGTCCTGTTGAAGGCTTTGCAAAGAACAAGAGAAAGCATTCTGTGTGGATAAATACCGCTATTTCTCCTCTGATCATTTTTCCTGATAATGTTACACAATTGCTTTTTTGTTCCTGTCCAGAGAGCTGGACAGTTAGTGATATAGAAAGTGTTATCTCTGTAGTCACTGGTGTTCATTTTGTAACTCACGAGCAGTGAAATCCCCTCCTTAAAGGCTGAATCCTAATACCTCCTAAACAAGCCCTCTATAGCCTCACAGTCTCACATTTAGGGATCTCAGTTTGTATTTTTTCATATTGCTTCTAGGTCTAGGAATTGACTATTCTTCCTTTGAAATGTCTCTCAAGTAGAAGCTGTGTGTCTTCTACAGGGATTGGTGTCAGGGTACTATGGCCCTGCCTGTGTGGGACTAGCGCCTCTTGCACAAAACCCTTGATGATGGCCTCTCATATCCTTCTTGGTGTTTTTGTTCTTTGTTTCTAAGTTATTTTTTTTTCTCAAAAGTTAACATGCATGAAATAGGGATGATATTTAATAAAGTGCCAAATTAAGATGGCTTTGAGAGGAACATGGTTGAGACAGGATTCGTCATCCCAGTTTTCTCTAGGGGTTAGTTTAATGTTATCCATTCCTAAAGTTTCTAAATTAACTTGATTCTTACGGAATTTGTTATAGGTTTATTAATAGAAACATGGCCCAAGCTGCTTCTTCCCCTTGTCAATCTTATATACTGTTGGGCAAGGCCCTTCTCACCCCTAAGACCTCCCTCAACCTGAGTAGCTTCACCTCAATAAGACATTATGAACAGGACATTCCTTAGGAGGAAATGGTTCTGTCAAACTTAGCACACTTAGGTTACATGGAGTTGTGCAGTTTCTCGACATATTCTGGATAATGGGCAGCTCCAGAGTGGAATGTCACTAGCCCCGGAGCCAACAGGCCCCCAGCAGGCTTCCCCTGAACTTCCCTCCCTCCTGTCTTCTTTTTCTGAAAGCTGCAGCATTGCTTTCCCCCAGTCCAGCATTTCTGTCCATTCCTAGCAGTAAAGAGTGATGGCCTAACTTCTTCCTACTCAACTCCAAGTCCTAAAGGCTGGAGTGTCTCCTCGTGTCCCAATAGTGCCACAGGCTGGTCACCAAGCCTTCAAACATGTGCTTTGGGAGACATTTAATATCTAACTATAATACTCTGTCTTCATACTAGAGAACACCAGGACATTATTCTTTTTGATGGGATGTTGGAAATTTGCTGGTGCTCTAGATGCAACAATCACAGTGAGATTTAGGAAGCATTTTATCTCACTATGCACATAACATTCAGCTTACTGCAAAAGCTCTAAATAATTGTATCTGAGGCACATATTTTCCCTAATGCATGGGTCCATACTCTAAATTCCTTCACTGGATATATTGATTTATAAAGACAAAGGAAAAGAATTCTCAAAAAACAAAAGAAGTACTGCTAGCTGGGCTGTGTATCTGGTGATCTGAATGATACCAGAATCTGTGGGCCCGGTTATGGACACCAGCTGAACTGAAAGCAAGTATCGGCACACAAGGAATACAGGGAATAAAACAAGTTTCTGTTTTGGTTGGTTTGTTTTTGTGCAAGCATTGAGGTCAGTTTAGGCGTGAGGTCATTTGTTTGGGATTTCTGAAGTCCATTCTTCAAGTACAGTTGGCACAGAAGTTGGTTCTCACATGTTGGTCCAGTTAGTCAGGATTTGGAATTTCACAAGGCCGTTGCCTCCTAAGGAACAGAAGAGACCTTTTTTACAGGAACGTCCTGAAGCTGGGCAGGGAACACATAAAATTTGTAAGCCTAGACTTTCTTTTGCTCTCTGACACTGCAGACACAGTGACCAGGACAGATGTAGAGACTCACATCCCCAAAGTAACCAAACCATAAACCACAGCCGCTGGGGTGGACTTGACGGCCCAAAAAACAGATGAACAGCTGATCTCTGCAGCGCTGCAGGTGATGTGAGGAGGGCCAGGCGAGGCGTGGTTTCCCCAGCAAGGGCCACAACTGCCAATCACTTGCCATTCTCCAGTCACTGCCTCATAGTATCCACAGTCATCTACCAGACTTAACTGACAGAAATAAGGACAGAAGGACGACTTCCCTTTCTCTCCTTTGTCTTAATAGTATAAATTCTTAAGGGGCCTCTGATCTGAAGAAAGGGGCAAAGGAACTTCCATAGAAAATCTATGTCTTAGAAACACCAGGATGTCATCTGTCACAACATGGATAAGATCTAAACCAAATAAAAAGAGAGATCCTTACCAAGTTCTATTGCAATCGATGAATCTTTATAATCATACACATCAAACTGTTTTGTCTTTAGGAGAAATGAGTGAGAATGTGGCCAGAGCTGGACACCAGCAACTCTTAGGAAGGAAAAGCTAAGTCCCTTTTTTTAGAGGTAGGAGGGGATCATGGGAGAGGAACACTGTGGGAGACTGGCTGGGCAAGGTTATTTCTCTGAGTTGAGGTCAGGACTCCCCCCACTCACTGTGTCATTGTCTTGCCCCAGGGTCCTTTCTGGACATGAAAGAATGTTGATTCTTCTCAAGAGCTTTGTAGGCATCTGACAGCATACCGTAGAAGACAGCTGTCCTGGGGCCCAGAATGGGCAGTTTGCAGGGAACGCTCTCTGGAGGTTGGAGCGAGGAGGAGGAAGAACAGGGCTGCTTAGATTCCCTATTAAGGAAACTCAGAATAACCACCAAGCACTTCTCCCACCTTATGAGACAGATTCAAAACTCATATGTTTTGAATTGAGTCTGTTTTTTAATGGAACCATCTTATCCCCAACAACATTTAAGCTTTTACAGATCTTGTCAAAGAGGCCAAAAGTAGTACCTAGAAATAAAACCCAAGCGTTAGGAATCATTGCCAATTAAATTAAAAATGAAGATAAAACATATCTGGAGCTGTAATATTAGTCAAAGGGAAAAGAGCTCTTGATTCTCAGGAGACTTTTCAGGGACACAAGCATAGTTCTGTTCTCTGAAAAAATAACCATGATCTTACAAAAAGCTATAGCACGGAAAGAAAGCATTCTGCAATTCCAAAGGAGACTCCGTTTTTGGCATAATTTATTTTTAGAGATCTTTAAAATCCTTATCATCCTGACCTCTTCTCCAAATATGATTTCCTTTGTGAAAAGTTGGTTAGCATTCAACTTCTGCAGAAGATACATTGCCTGAAGGAAAGTACAATAATGTGGGAAATAACACCTTCCCTCTGGGAATCCTTGAATGACCCTGAGAATTGGAGTCCTGAATTCTCTGGAACAAGCTCCTTGGTCAAGCCAGATGAGAGCTAGACATAGCATAGGGTCACAAATGTAGAATCCAGTTTAGTCTCATGAAGTGAGAGAAGAGGACACAGTGGTCCAGGGGGACAGGCACAGATGGGCTAAGGACCAGATCTTAATTCTAACTTAGTGCTCTTTGTATCATATCACACTACTGTGCCAGATGGTAGGTGTAAATCAGGAGGTTGACATCAATGCCGATGTTTATAAAGAGCAAGAGCCTGTGGTGTCATGAGACTCTGGAGTTGAGCCAGAGAAAAATGCACCCAGAAGAAAACCCACAGCACTTTTGAGATATGTTCTTTCAATTTATTTAGTTCTCATTAAGAAGTACTAGTAATATATAAAGTTAGGTGATCCAGAAAAAACGAGTTAGACAATCGCTGGCATACTGTGCACTGGACGAGCTGGCCGCTCAGTGTCCATAGCATGTGCCCAGGGAGCACAGCCAGGTGGGCGACAGCTCCGGCGGCAGGCTGTGGTGCTGTAATACTGACGTCCAAGCTGAACAACGCTGTGGGCCTGGGCAGTGCCAGCAGTCTTTCTGGGCTGGTTAAAGGTGAAGGTTTCTGGTGTTGTCTAGCTCTCCTGTGACAAGAAGCTTCTCTGGTTTTGAAAGTAGAAACATGGAGACCAAACCCCCACACAACTAGAGCCAACAGGAGGTCCACAAGCTTCAGCTTCTAGTCAATTGTGCAACCACTGTTCCTGCAGCTCCACCTCCCAGGTTGCTACCCTACGTTGCACTCTGTGGGCAAGAGCCACTCCACGGCTAGCTCCTCTATTGCTAATTGAAGTTCACCCTCAGGGCTAAGGAATTAATGAAAAGCATCTTGTTACACTGTCCTCTAAGGTCAGAAAATAAATGTTCTTGCTGACGGAAGGACAGGTATGTGTATGTGTGTGTGTGTGTGTGTGTGTGTGTGATTTAGTCCTTTATAAGGCAGGTCTGAAAAAATCCAGGACCAAGGGAACCCCTGAGTGAGGGTGTGACTGACACAGATAACCCTGAAAGCTACTCTAGCTAGCTGTGCACGCTTATCACCTGGTGTCTTCTTTACGAGGTGGTCACAGTCCAGATAACAGCCGAGTGGGGAGCTTCCATTGTGTGGATGTTCTCAGTTCTAGGCTCTTGATTCCACTTTGGCCACATAAGAGCCAGGAACTCAGCCAACATTTCTGAATACCTAAGAAGTGGTTCAGAGGGACTTGGCAGCCCTGCTCTGTGCCAGAAGGCAGTGAACTGCTCCACACACATCAGCTCTTACTTGGGTCTCTGGGCCTCTTTTTTGGCATCCCCTCAAGAAATCATGTCAATCCTGTGATTTTCTTTCTAGATGCATTCTCAGTTCAGTTCTGCCTCTGAATCCCTGGGAACCTCCCAGGATAGAGCTTAGACTTTCTCCTCTACATAAAGTCATCGTAGTTCTCTTTACTGCCTGTGTTGAATGTAGAGCAGCTTCAGGTGGCTTCAGTTAATTTGGGAGTAAATTAATTTGGGAGCTCATTTGGGAATAGAGAGCTTGGGCTACTCCATACCCTTGAAATATGCTGTCCCCAAGAACAGCCCACTCCTACCTTCACCAACCCATGGCTGGTTTCTCCAAAGGATGAGTCTTAGGTCTGAAGCCTGAGAGTGAGCCACCACCCTTGTTTCTGTTAACAATAAGTGAACACTGGGGAGCACTGGGGAGCTCAGGGAGAAGGTGGGTGTTTTAGGGAGGCTGTGGACAAAATTCGCAGGGCCTTTGAGGGGCCATTCCAGGGGTGTGGAGATGTAGTCCCCTGTACAGTTAGACTAGTACCTTTGGGATTGCCATGGAGGGACTCACTATAGAACTAACTATGGAAACTGGTCAGAGCGTGTGGTGTGGAGACAGCGTGGGAAAGAGCATGATATGGAGAGGGGCGGGTGGTGTCTAGGAAGGGCCAGATGGGTGGAGTGCGAGGGAGGAGGCCAAATCCTCCCAGTGTGTCACAAGGCAACGTGTGACAGAGAAAGGGATAGAGAATGTTCAGAAAATTTAGAAATTATCTTAGGAATTAAATCTTCCACTCTACCGCCCTGGACATGGTATATCTCACCCTGCAAATTCTCTGAAAATAGACTAACCTGTTGCCATGTTCTCACGGGAAGGTTTAGGTTCAGTCTGGGATCTGCATTGATGAAGATTCATCATTCTGATTGGAAGAAGCAAGAATGCACATGAGTCCACTGGCCAGAGCTTGAGGAATGGGAATTTGTCTTTGTACATCTTAAAACAGATGATCTCTGGACCCCAGCACCTGTTAGCCTGGTGATCAGACCACTTTGCAGCAGTGAGATGACTCGGTGAAGAACACCCATTCTCAAGGTCTTTTACTTAGTGATATTTTCATGGGTTTTGAGAAAACTTTCATTTAAAAATATTTTATTCCACTGTCAAAACTCATATGATCTGAAAATAGGACTAAGGAAAGAATCCTCTAATTCCAGAGAAAAAAATAACAAACTTACAGATCACTAATTTATCCTTAAAGAGAGAGAGTTTTGGTTAGAACCTTCTATGTCTCAGTATAGGGGAGAAATAAATATTGCCATATAGCATAGATAGCTTTCCATTTGTTTTAACGTAGGGGAGCTCTCTTTTTGCTTTCAACTCTCTACCGCATGGCAGTCAACAGACAAGTTTTTCAGTAAAATAACTGAATCCTTCTTCATTGTCCAATAATTAAATACACCCCCCCCCTTTTTAACTAACAAACTAGAATTTTGACTGGATGTCATTTTTGTTCCATTTGGTGGTGTTAAGAAATCACCAAATAACAACCAAACAGACATAAGGGATTTTAGTTACTAAAAAGTGGCAGACTCGAGACAGGTTGTGCGTCATCTCCCATATCTTCTGAATCAGATGTACCATCTACTTGGAGGCTTTATATTGAGTTCTGCCTCAATATAAAGTCCTTTGACTTTATATTGAGTCTCTGGGCCTCTTTTTTGGCATCCCCTCAAGAAATCACGTCAATCCTGTGATTTTCTTTCTAGATGGATTCTCAGTTCAGTTCTCAAAGGACTCTCCTATCCTTTATGCTTTTCTTGTGAAGGTATAAAGAAAGATCATACTTTCCCCACAATAGTTCAGTAATTGTCCAAGAACAAATAAAAGGTGAAATAATGTTATTTAGTCTGGTTTAACAAGAAAATGAAACCATTCCCTAAACATCTGATTACTCTGCTCCTCAATCCACAATCCTGTATCCCGAACAAATAAACCAGAACTAAGCCATATCCCAAGGCCAATCTTTGGCTTACCTTTGGCTCACAAAATTCTCAAAGGATAGTTTCAGATAATCTGGATTGATCACAGTTCCTGGTTGTACCTGAGGAAGAAAGTCCCACTTAGAACACTGGCAGAACTACGTTCTGATTGAAATAAATGATGTCTCACTTTAGCAAACTCAAGTTGTATTTGACATCAAAGTCATTTATGCATCCCTTCAGAGGGTCTCACCCTGTCCTCAAGTCATAGGGTCTTTATTCTTTCCAGGTTCTGAGACTTGGAAGTTAGATTCCTCAAGATGAGTAAGGCTTCAAAATCTGTTCAGACCACTATGGTGCATTCTTCAGGTCTCAGGGCCCCTTTCTCACAGAGGCCTCTGGCTCCTGGACCACTCTTGGTAATTCTCTGCCTTTTGTTCTGAGGGTTTCCTCTATCAGATGCTCATCAAAGTTTTATTGTATTTATGTGCTTATTGTCTGGCTACTCTGATAGAATTTCAGCTTCAGGGGACAGAGACCCCATCTCTATTTTTGTATTTCCATCTCCCAAACTGCCACTCAAGACATTTTTTGACCACATTAGTGAAGAAATGAGCCCACTTTGAAGCATACTTGAAATTTTTATGTGTGCCCTTCATACAGGCTAAATCCAATGTAAATTTACAGAATTACTGGTTAAAATCATCTTGAGTTTTTTCAAGTTTATGACTAACACTAGTTATGACTTTTTCAATATTTCTCCAAAGGGATTGTAGCTCTGACAGTATATGATCATCACAAGACGTGGGTGCTGGTGTTCATCTGGCCTCCTCACTGAGTGACCTGCACTATGGGAATTGAGATTCAAACTTGTGACACAGTTGCAAATTACAATGTGTCAAGAACCTCTAGAGGTACTTGAAAGTAGCAAAAATCGGAATATCAGTGTACACAAAGGCCATCACCTACTGTATTGAGTTAGATTGTTCTCCTATCTCATTAGCTGAGGGGAGGATGGGGGGTGGCAGTAAAGGCTTTAGTGAGAACCGAAGGACAGTTTCTAGATAATTCTACATAAAAGGGTAGAGAATATGCCAAAGATAGATTTGGTCATTTTCTAAAGTTTCATCTATAGTTGTCTCTGCTTGAAGGAAAGATGCAGGCAACTCTACCCCTCCTGAATAGCATGACCCCTGTTGTAAAGCCTCTAAGTCCAGCTGGGTATTGCATGTGTGAAGTGGGCTGTAGGGGTTATGCCAGAACAAAGCTGCCAAGGACAGGATGTTTGTTTCTGAAAAGAAAGTATCTGGCGGGGGTGGGGACACTCCTATTTATTCTTCCACCCATATTGATTTTCTTTCATTTTAACTGTACAAATTTATGGGTCAGGTGTAATAATTCAATATGTGTATATAGTGTGTAATGATCAAATCAGTGTAGTTAACATTTCCCTCTTCTTAACGCCTAATAATAGTACTTATTTATGTAGTACAGCGTGATATTTCAACACATGTAGACAACAGATACTGATCAGATCAGGGTAATTAACTGTCCCTTCTCTTTATTGACTTTGGAACCTTCCAGCTTCTCTCTTCTAGTGGTTGTTACAGGCACCCGACTGTGCTGGAGAACACTGGAGCTTATTACTTCTGTGTTTTGGTATCTGTTATCCAACCTCTCACTGTCCCCCTACCTTTTGCCCTCTAGTAATTTCTATTATATATTCCAATCAATGTTTTAAAAACACCCATATACAAGAGACAACTTGTCTGTCTGATTCATTTCACTGAACAGAAAGAATTCCACTTTCATACATTTTGCTGTAAATTGCAGAATGATTTTTCACAATGGATAAGTACCACCTTTTCTTTATCTTTTCATCCTTTATGGACATCAAGGTGGATTCCTATCATGGCTATTGTGAACAGTGCAGCAATAAGCATGGGTGAGGTGTCTCTTTGGTGTGCTGATATCCTTTCTTTTGGATATGAACTCAGAAGAGGGATAACTGGATCATTTGGTGGTTCCATTTTTGGTTTTCTGAGAAACGCACTTACTGTTCTCCATAATGGCTAGTTTACATTCCCAACAATGGTGTATAAACATGCCCTCTTCTCTACATCCTTGTTGCATTTATTGTTTTTTGACTTTGCAAATGCCATTCAAACTGGAGCAAGACGATATTCATGGTGGTTTTGACTAGCCTTTCTTTGACAGCTAATGAACTTGAACATTTCCTTCCCAAATTTGTTAGCCATTTGAACTTTTTTTGAGAAGTGATTATTCATATCCTTTGCCTATTTTTAATTGGATTATCATCATTTTTAAAAGTTTTTAAATGTATTCTTGATATTAACCCTTTGTCAGATGAATAGCTTACAAACTTTCCTCCCATTCTGCAGTTTTCTCTTCACTCTCTGATTGTTTCTGTGCTGTGTAAAAGCTTCTTAGTTTGACATAATCTCATTTACTATGGCTGTTTCGTTTCCTGTGCTTTTGGGGTTTTATCCAAATAATCATTGCTTATATGAATGACTTGAAGTGTTTCCCCTATGTTTTCTTTAGTAATTTCAGTTTTGTGTCTTACCTTTAGTCCTGATCTACTCTGAGTTTATTTTTGTATAGAGTGAGAGAAGGGTCAAGTTTCAGTCTTTAGCATGTGCATATCCAGTTTTCCCAGCACCATCTCTGAAGAGACTATCTTTTCTCCAATGTGTATTTTCCGTATCTTTGTGGCAAATCAGTTGGATATAAATACATGGATTACTCTATTCTTTTCTATTGGTCTGTGCTTCTCTTTTTATGCCAATATTATGCTGTTTTGATTATTGTAGCTTTGTGGCATATTTTAAAGTAAGGTAGTATGAAACTGATAGCTTCTATTTGTGTGTATGTGTGTGTGTGTGTTCTCTTTCTTTTATCGTAGTTTTAAATTTCATTGTAGACATCTTTTACTTCCTTGGTTGAATTTATTTCTGGGCATTTTTTGTAGCTATTGTGAATGAAATTCCTTTCATGATTTCTTTTTTAGAAATTGGTGTATAAAAATGCTTCTGATTTTTGTGTGCTTCTTTTTTTATTGCAGATGAACACAATACCTTTATTTTGTTTATTTAGTTTTTTTTTTTTTTAATGTGGTGCTGGGGATCCAACCCACTGCTTCACACAGGGTAGACAAGTGTTCTACCATTGAGCCACAACTTCAGCCCATGTGCTTCTGATATTGCATCCTGCAACTTTACTGAGTTCATCTTTCAGTTCTAACAGTCTTTTGATGGAATTCTTAGGGGTGTGTGTGTGTGTGTGTGTGTGCGCGCACACACACACATGTGTTCTACAAACAGGGACCATCTGACTTCCTCCCTCCTGTTTGCATGTCTTTCCTTTCTTCTGATTGCCTGATTGCTCTGCTAGTCATGCCAGCATGATGGGAGCAAGCAATGGGAGTGGTGTCCTTGCCTCATCCAGACCTTAGAGGAACTATTCCTAGCTGCTCCCCTCAGCATGCTGGCGCTGAGTTTGTTACACATGACCATTATTACAAGATGCCTTCCTTTTATATCTTTGTCAAGAGTTTTTGTCATGATGTTGAATGTTTATCGAGTGCTTTTTCTGCATCTATTTTTAGTGATTTTTATCCTTCGTTTTGTTGATGTGATGTATTACACTTATTGACTTATATGTGTTGAATCATCCTTGCATCCCTGGGATAAATTTCACTTGATCATGATGAATGATCTTTTTGATATGCCACTGGATTCAAATTGCTAGTGTTTTATTGAGAATTTTTGCATTTATGTTCATTAGAAGTATTGACCTGTAGTTTTGTTTGTTGTTGTTGTTGTTATTGTTGTGTGTGTGTGTGTGTGTGTGTGTGTGTGTATGTGTCCTTGTTTGATTTCAGTATCAGGCTATACTGGCCTCATGAAATGAGTTTGGAAGAATTCTCTCACTTTCAATTTTTTTTGGAATAGTTTGAGATGTATTGATATCAGCTCTTAAAAGTCTGGTATAATTTTCAGCAGTGAAGGAATCTGGTCTTGGATTCTTCTTTATGGGGTTCTTTTAATTTCTGAATCAATTTCATCACTCATTACTTTTCTGTTCACTCTCTGTATTCATGGTTCAATTCGTGCCTGGATGTCCATACCTTTCCAGATTTAGGGGACTTTTCAGTTACTACCTCATTGAGTGGGGAGAGACTATAGAAGCTTGCCTGTTCTCAGTCCCATGGGCTGCCTATGCCTTTGTTTCCCCCTCTGTGCTAGAACACCTACCCCCACGTGGCATGGGCTTGGGTGCTGGAGTCACATTTGCTTGACTGGGTCAAATCGAATCTGTGAGGTTGCAGTCCCTTGTGCTAGTATGCAGGCATGTCGGAGGGGTCCCAGGGATCGGGATATGCAAAGGTTCCTTACCTTTAGGGCAGTATGAATTCTGACAATAATTCCCTTCTTAAAATGGTGTCTAGTCTAGCAGCCTGGACCCTGGGATTTGATGGGGAAGACGCTGTCAGCTCCTTGTCCAAATGAAAGCTATAGGGCAGATTTTGGATCACTCCCCTAACTGATCTGCAAGCCCGTGATGCCTGTAGAACCTTCCGATGGCTAGATTGCTGGTGGCTGTGCTGATGGGGCTTGCGGGCTCTTCAGTTCACCCTCACCCCTGCTGAGGGGGCGTCCCTTCCCTGGTCCATGCAGGTGTGCTGTGCTCCTCTTTCCATGCTGCTGTTTCGGGGTTCTGGGCCTTACAAGTCCTGGTCTCTCCTTGCTGAATTTCAGTGCTCTCCCAGGGTCATCACCTCAGAGTGTAGCTGTCTACCTGTTGTTCTGGTCTTCCTGATGGAGGAGGCCGTGAGTTCTGGGCACCTCTGTTTGGATGTCTTGCAATGCCCTATTCATTCTGGAAAAGGCTGAATAGTCTCTTTCTTCCAGGAAACTGTCCCTGAGGTTTACCTTCCCTTCACTCCCACCAGGTCTATTCTATTTCTTTTCAGCATATTTTGTTGCCAATATTTGTTTATCTTTTGGCTTCTTAAAGACAGAGCTTGACTTATTCTTTTTCTCTTCATTGTACTTGAGAAAGTAGGAAAGCACATGTTTTGTTCTTCTCTTTCAAGATGATTTTGACTATTCTGTATCTATTGCATTTTATTATGAATTTTAAGATCTGCTTGCCAATTTCTTTAAAAAAATGGCATCTGGGATGTTAAGAGGGATGGCACTGAATCTGTAGATAGATGGGGCAGTATTGCCGTCTTTATAACATTAAGAGTTCCAATCCATGAACATGGGTTCTTTCCATTTATTTAGGTCTTATCTTCCCATGATATTTTGTAGTTTTTGATTTATAGATCTTGTATAACCTTATTCCTAAGTATTTTTGATGCGAATATAAATGAGATTATTTTCTTAATTTCACTTTGGTTGTTCATTGTTAGTCTAGAGAAGCAAATCAATGTTTGTAAATTAAACTTGTATCCTGCAATTCTACTGTGCTTATCTATTGGCTCTAACAGTGTGTGTGTTCCCAGGACGTTCTAGATATGGGATCATGTTACCAGAAATAGAAATAGTTTTACTTTCCTCTCTTTCTTTGCCCTAATTGCCCCAGTAGAACGCACAGTACCATACTGACTAGAAATGGCAAGTGTAGACATTCTTGCCTTGTTCCTGGCCTTAGGGGAAATTATCCAGGCTTTCACTATTAAGATCCCCCTTGTTAGGTTGAGGAAGTTCCCTTCTTTTCCCTCCCGATACTACTAAGGAAGGAGGGTGCTGCTGGTTACAGCCCCTTGGCTGTCCCAACCCTGAAGGATGTTGAAGAGCCACTGTTTGGTGGGGCAGTGGTGCTTCATGCATGGTTTCTAACACTCTGAGGCTTCCACCAGGTCCCAACAGCAGCAGGGACAAGTGCCTGGGCACTTCTGTGTCTGGAGACCTTCTTTTCAGAAGCTGCAGCAAATGTGGGAGCATGGTGTGTGACACCACTCCAGTCAGGCTGGCAAGGGCAAAGGTCAAGGATGAGGTCTTGAGAAAGAGGACAGCTGTGGAAGCCCCATGCGAGCCAGTGGCCAAAGCTGGCAGGGGCCTGGGGTTGGCACATTCTACATTGATTCCAGTCCAGACGCCAGGCGGTGCCCACACTGCACTCTGTGATGCCAGCCAAGGGAAAGCCAACACAGAATGCAACTCCCAGGCGGCCTCCCCAGCGGCATCAGGTGCATTTCCAGTTCCCACACAAAACCCTTGTGGACTGCCGCTCTGTTCCCGTCCTGCCGGCCTGAAGCACTTTTGCCATGAACTTGGGGAAGGAACCTCTCTTGAATCTCCTGTTTTCCTTCCATCCCTTGCTCTCCCTCTCACCACACGAGTAGCTCTCCCGGCCTCCTTCCCAGGTCCAAGGAGAGTCCCGATATCAGAATTGAAGAGATCTTCCCATCCCCTATCCTAAACTTAGCCAGGCAGCTGAATTACCTTCAACTCAAGCCTCATCCTGGCCCCCACACTAACCCTGCTCCTTAAATCGACACAGGTCTCCTCACTCTGAGCTGGGGGAGCCTCCGTCTGAAATGGCCTCTTTCTTTAGCAGCTCCGACAGGTGGCAGAGGTTTGTCCTTGCTCCCTGCACACCCCCTTTATGTCCTTTTTTCCTGATATCCTCCCCACCACCACTCTCCACCACCAGCTATAGTTACAGTACCAAGTGACACCTCCACTAGCTAGACACTACTGGGGAACCTCCCCAGCTTTTCTTCCCAGGTGCTGGCTACATCATAATAAACCCAAAGATTAAGCTGCTTGTTTCATGATTATAATGGTTGAAGAGGACTCTATGTGTGTGTGTGTGTGTGTGTGTGTGTGTGTGTGTGTGTGTGTGTGGTGTTTGGGAGATGTGAAGAGAGGAAAAGAAGCCCCATAACCTCTGTAAGAGTGCAGTGACTTACAAGCCCAATTGGTTTACCTCATCATCTCGTCTCTTTCCCCTGGTCCACCAACCTTGGCTCACCTCTGGCTTGTTGAAATGTGGAAGGTTAAACATTTTGCGGGACCACCTTGACACATGCCCATTTCTGCCCCCCACCCCTTGCCTACCATTTTTTTTCCTTGACATGCGGAGCTCAGCCTCTTATGTCTGAGTGACATGAGGTCATGCTGGTTCTTCCTGGCCTGAGGGGGAAGAGAAACAGAGAGCGGTAAGTTACCTGGGGCAACACGGGAGTAGGAAAGGGCTAGAGAGGCAAGAGAGGTAACAGCTTTTCCTTCCATAAACAGACAGGCACTCTGGTCTCAGCCCTCTAGAGCCATCGCTGACTCAGGTTTGTCACATTTGGTAGGTTAGGAGGGAGTGGCCCCAGGCTGGGGGTGGCTGTGGGGATGCTCCAGTGGTGCAGGCATAAGGACAGGACCTGGGGCCAAAGACGAGGGCTGGCGTCCACAGGGGTCTCTCCTTTCCAACCTGAGCCCCTGTGGCTGAGGAACTGCATTCTCCATGGGCAGCTCCTGTACCCCACGTACACAGGTTCTCCACCAAACGTCCAGCTGAGGACTCTTGTTATGGTTTGGATCTGGAGTGTCTCCAGATTCTCCATGTTGGAGGCTTGGTCCCCAGGGCAGCAAGACCCAGAGCTGGGCTTCTGGAAAGTGACTGGATAAACAGTGGCTCTAACCTCATCAATGATTAGCCCACTGAGGGATGGTTCATGGTTGCATGGACTACTGGGAGGTGGCGGAGGCCAGGAGGTGGGCCCAGCTGGAGGGAGTGGGAGCATCCTCTCCTGTCTCCTGGCTCCTGATTGTGCCCAGCCTGGCTGCCATGGGGTGAGCAGCTCTGCTCCACCAAACCACCCTGCCCTGATGTCGAGCCTCTCCACAAGCCCAGGATCAATGTAGCCGAGGGAGCAATGAACGTCGCCTCTGAAGCCGGGAGCCTAAGAGACCCTTCTCCCTTCTAGCTCCTCAGGTATTTGGTCACCGCCATGGAAAGCTGACTGGCACACAGCCTATTCTCAGGACAAATGGAGGCTTCTTTTCTGCACCCTCCTTTCACCAGCCCCTCCCTGGTGCACCCTCTTTTCTCAGCCTCACCTCTGGCTCAATGCCAGCTCTCAAGCATCCATGGCCCAGTGGCGTCACCTGCCCCATCTCCAGAAAGCTGTGCATTGAGCCACCCACAGGACTGAAGCTGCCGTCCCCGCCCTCTCGCTCTCTGGGTTGGAGAGGCCACTCCAGCCCAGCAAAGGTGCTGCTACTGGAAGGACGGTGGGTACCCGTCTGGTCAGGGCACCCACTCCTTTCTTTTTGACTTGGTCTCTGTGAAAGGGTGAGAGGCAGGACTTTGGGGCATGTACACCTGCATCATGAAGCTCTCATTTACGTCTCTGGCAAGAGGTTTGTTAGGGAGGAAATGGAAACTTGAGGTTAAAGCTATGTTTGGAGCTTCTCTCTTACTCCTCCTCACGTGCACGGACTTGAAAGTTGCGTGGTAGGTTCCTAGAAGGTATAGAACATAGGGAAGAGGAGGCCACAGTGACAAGCAGAGGGTGACAATTAACTGAAGCCTTCTCCTCCTCATCCACAGCCTTGTCTGCTATCAGCACATGGTGCCTGACCCACTCCTGCTGCACTGGGGGGTGGCTGAACAGGCCTGCAAGTAGCTTCATCCTGTGAATAATAAAAGGCACTTGGGATCTGAGGACCGAACACTCTTGCCAATGTTGGATTCTTTTGATAAATATTTAAAATATGCTTCATGTTTATAGGATATTTTAAAAGAATCAACTCAGTGTTACAATCTGGGGGCTGGCATGTTAAGGTCTGCGTGTGGGTGACTAGATCTGTCCATTCAAGAACAAACTCTGACTGTGAGGCCACCATGTGAGGCTGCGGCAGGGGCCAGAGGGTCGAATAAGACAGTTTCCGGCCCTAAAGAGGACAAGAGAAGAACGTGAATTCACTCAGTACCCTGGGATCCAAAAGCCACAGCTTCTGACCTCATGCTGTCACCCTCTGTGTACCGGGAAGTGTGACGGGGTTGAAGGTATTGTGACAGAAACACATGGGGACCACAGTGAGGCTGAAAGCGGGTGGGCGCTCACTTAGGAGCAGGGCAGAGGGAGGGTCTGAAGGGTTACGAGACAGGCAGTGCTTAGGTGGGCACTTGTTGGCTGTGAGCAGGGGAGAGGGGGAGGCCTCCATCCAGGAAACACAGCATGACCCAGTCAGCCAGCTTCGGGTACCAGAGGGCAGGGTGCAGTGGCCAGTGTATCTGGAGGAAGAAGTAGGGTGAGAAGGGGGACTGGAGAGGGGAGTCTGTGTGGATGGACTCCTCTGCTTTGGGGATCCAACCCCCTGCCAGGTCTTCCCTGACAGCCTGGGGCTGGTACTCCTTGCAGCTCGGCTCCTCCATCCACCCCTCACAGTTTTGAGGTCTGACACTAAGATACCTCCCTGAAGCTGCCATTGAAGTAGGAAGCACTAGATATCTCAGAAGTGGCAACTTGCCTCTGGGCCCTGAGAAAGCAGGGAGACCACTTAGGATTGGAGGAATCAGAAAAGTGTTACTAGAAATGGCATTTACAATTGGCCTGAAAGGACGAGGACCACCTGGACAGGGTGAGGTGGCCGTGGGAGAATCCTCTGGTGCATTTGTTTTTATAGTTATAAGTAGACCTTCATCTTCCCTGCAATTAATTCCTTCACCATTTCCAGACTTCTGTTTCTGTCTGAGAATACTACTACACCTACAGGGATGAGAGCCAGAGAGTTCACTGCAACCAAGCAACAAATATATTTGCAGGATAATCCAGGTGCACAGCAGGACCATGCTGTTTAATGACGACTCCCACAGCCACTGTGGACTGTGGACTCCCACAGCCATGTGCACTTCATCCCTCGAGTTTTCAGGACGAAGTACTTTGCAGGTTGCCCTCTCTGGCCTTGTTAAGGCCTCATTCTTTAACAACAGCCTAGAGTTCCTTTCAGAAAACCTAGCTCCTGCCCCTCCTGCCATTTATTGCCCCTTATCCTGAGCTGGATGCCTGCTTCTCCGATTCCATCACAGACATGGTGAGGTGGATATGGTGACTTTATTTGCATTTTGTACTCATCTACTTCTTGAAAAAAAATGTTTTCTCCATCAGGCTGAGAGTTATTTAAGAGCAAGAACCATGCCTTGCACATCTTTGTATTCCTACAACCTGCTATGGAATCTGGCACACAATAAGTATTTAACAAACACTGGGTGAATGAATGAGTCACTACGAGCACTTTAAATTAACGGGTATAAACAAAGACATAACCGAGATTGCGTGTGAGTGTGTGTGCAAAAATCACTATGTTGTTTTCAGATGGATATTTCAGGACGCTGGTCTGGTGTACTCAATCTGTTCTGGGTAAGGTGTGGGAAGAGCACTGGCTGGATCTTAAGGGCTGCATTCCAGACAGGGCTTTTGGAGTAACTTGAGTGATTTGTCAACAATGTAAATTCTCTGGGCCTCCTCTTCCCTTCAGGTGACTGTCACTGTGGCCCAAAGAGAGAGAGGCAGGCCACAATTCTGCTCACATTTTACAAGTAGAGTGAAACCTAGTCTGACCTGCGGCTCACTCCAGCTCAGCCTCACCTCCAAGAGGAGCTACTTCCTCCCTTTCTAGAGAGGAGGATGAGGGCCTGGGGAGTGGGAAGGCAGCTATGATAGACAAGTCCAAAGCTGATGCAGTGGCTTGTAGGTCTCGCTCCTCATTCTGCCTTTTCCTCCCATCCCTGAAGCCCAGGTCTGGCCATTCCCAGCTCACTCTTAGTTTCCTTCAACCAGCTCAGCGCCAGCAGCAGCAGGATGGAGAGTGAACTGGTCAGGTTCACAGCACAACACCCTGGCTATATCATCTCAGCCAGAGGCACTGAAATATTAACGGAGCTCTCATTTCCCAGGACAGCAGACAGCAGATGCAATGGGAGTGCAGAGGCATGACGTGGGCTGTGGCCTGTCCCCAGAAGGCAAAGCCTGCGCTCCACTTTTAACAACTGGAAGTATCCAATACTGAGGGACAGCATCTGCTGAGGTTCCTAGAGCTGACTCTTGGCCCACGACCTTGGCTTTCTTAAATCCTAGGTAAAGAGACAGAGACACAGTCCTCTCCCTCCCCTTCTCTCTCATATACACACCTGTTCACATAACAAAAACTGAAAATGTAAGCACCAGATGGTGACTTTAAAAATAAACATCACAGGCTTGATGGGAGGAACCCTGACAAGTTTTGCCTCTGTCCTTCTTGCCCGTTGGCACTTTTAGTCCTTTTCTCCTTTCTCCTCCTGACTTAACAGAGATTTCACAGGTCATCTGGTTCAACCCTCTTGGTGAATCCAACAAGGAAAATATGGCTCAGAAAAGAGATTTGTCCAATAACCTGCATTAAGTTTTTGTCACTGGGAAAGTTTTTTGAATAAAAGGGTCAAAGAGATTATCTTTTCCCAGAGGAGGATCCGACTCTTAGAACCCCATATGAAAGCACAATTATTCCAATACCCCTTAGAGGGAGTCAAAAGGCAGTGGTCAAAGAACTGTCTTCAACCCTCCAAAAAATCCTGTGATAATAAACCTTTCAATCCTATCTGAAAATACCAGTCATATTAAGAATTCAGAATTAAGCTGAATACAGGTTCAACATGCTCTTACTGTTCGCTAGGAAACATGTTAAATATACCCCAATAGTGGACAACCATATGCCTACCATCCTTGCTCATCAAACCTAACTCTCACCCATCAGGCCAATGGTGTTTGTTATTACTTCTCTTTTAAAATTGCATGTGTAATTATTATGTGCTTGATTAATAAAGACAGGATCATGTGAGGTAGTTTCCTTGGTGGTCGTGAGCTTTCAAAATCTGGAGTCAGTGAGAGAGAAATAAGAGCGAGCTGTCAGTGGGTGAGGCAGGAAGTCTCTGTCCTCTGGCTTTCCCAGTGGACCTCTGCTGCTGCTCAGGTGTTTTCAGCCAAGGGGTTTTGTCACAGGTCTGATAAAAGCAGAACAGAAATGCTCCCATCTTTACTCTGACTCATTAGGCTGGGACAACGGAGCTGATCAAAGGGAGCAGAGAGGGTGGGGCAGGAGTGGGGGGGCTGGGACTCCCAGGAGCTCTAGGTAGTTGACATCCAACCCCAGCAGGTGGGAGCAGGGCTTTAGGCCCCTGCAGTCCTCCAGGTCACTCACAGGCTTCTGTTTTGCCTTGCTGGGCATGGCTGAGTCACCCCCTGGCACATGCATCCAACTACCACCATACACCTTCCCATCTCATGGCATCCTGAGGAGTCAACAGTCATGCCGGAAAATGGCAGGTAATGACAAAGATCTAATGGTGTCATTAGTCCTGGTGACTAATGACAAAGTCTAATGGTGCCATCAGTCCTGGTGACTAATGACAAAGGTCTCCCCAGTAAAGGTTTAAAGGAGGAGATGTTTAGGCTTCATTCAAAACGGTTCTTTGTTATCTCTGCCTCTCCTTTTCTCTTCGATGTCTTTGCCCGCCCCACCTCTCTGCAGGGGTCCCTCTTGCTGTCTGTCTCCCTCCTCCTGTGGCTGTGCCTCTGAGCCTGTTTCCTGTGTGTTTCTGAGGGAATGCTGCTCTGGGCACACTGTACCTGGCCCTGCCACAGGGCAGGAATGCCACTTGGAATGCAAATGTTCAAAGTTCTGCCCTTTGGTGACAGTGAAGAGGCAGCGAGCCAGGTGGCAAGACCTTTGTGCCTGTACACAGGACTGGCTGCGGCTTCTGCCAGGTGCCTGATTCAAAGGGTGAAGGAAGAGAGTGCGTCCACGGTGCGTTTCACTCCGTGAGACACAGCATAGTTTCTTTCTAGAAAGGACCAACTGCAGGCTGAGCCCGTGCTGACCTCACAGCACATGAGGCAGGGATTCATGCTCACAGCAGACTCTGGGGCCTTCCTTCCAATTCGAGGAGGTCTGTGACAGGTAAGGACCTAATCTAGGCGCCTGCCCGGTGCCCAACAGAACGGGATCCCAAGTTCCCTTCTTGCTCTTCTGGTCTGCAAGAGTGATGTCACGCAGAAACCGTGGTAGGCCAGCCCCAGGTTAGGGGGTGCGGGCGAGGCACCTAGCTGGCTCAGCAGGGGTGACTTGGGGGCCTCCCACGCAGCCTACTGGCCAAGCAGCTGCTCTTGACTGCCGCCTCGTGGCCAGCTGTGAGTACTGCCAGCGTAGGGAGCTTGCCCGCGCCCCGCCCTCTGCAGGAGCCCAGGGGTCTGAGCGCCTGGGCTCCTGCGCTGCGCCGGGACCTGGGCACCCCTGGACAAGCGGCAGAGACGTTTAGGGACGTTTAGGGCTGGGTGACTAGAAACCTTCTGGCAGTTTCTGCAGCAGCGCCCAGGCAGCCGTCCCTCCTCGCTTGGCCCCTGGCCCAGCACATGTCCCTCTTGCCTGTCCAGGTTGCTGCGGGACTAACGAGGTGACCCTAAGGCACAGCGTGGGTTCTCGCTGCTCGCGATGGCCTTCGGGTCTCTGCCCGTGCTGGGCTCACCTGCCCCGGCCTCCCTGCACGCGCGGCTCGGTGGCGTCCCCCAAGCATTTCCGGAGCTCTGGGCGCTGGTCCCCTTCCCTTCACCTCCGAGTCTCTTCGCCCTTCCTCCGCCCTGGCTCTTCCCTCACTGGTTAAAACAGGCCCTTCGAGATCCGCGCAGAGCCCCCCTCGCACGCCCCCTGCATCTCGGCTCAGCCTCCCCACCTGGAGGTGCCTTCTCCTCCCACCTTCCCCGCTGGGGCGCCGCTCTCGTGGCTGCACCTGCCCCGCCGCCCTCTCGCCCTCTTAGGTGGCCCACCGCTGGTCGCCACCTCCGTCCTGGTCGCCACCTCCGTCCGTATTAAGCACTATTGACCAAAGCCAGGGGCTCCTCTTGATCATGGCCCACCTCTACCGCACCTCACTGCGCGCTGGGCACTGGGTGGGTCAGGTGAACTGGAGGGAACACTGCACACACCGCCTGCAAGGGCCTGCGGGGCCCAGCCGGTTTTCAGAAGGAACTGCTTTCAGCGTTAAATGTCGCCTCTTCACCTCAGGAGGCGCTGCCCCCACGTCCCCAGTACCACTGCCCCCAGGTGCTGTACAGTGCCCCCAGCAGCCAAGATTGATTTCTGTGAGGTGGAGGGAAAAGGAGGAATTTCCCAGGTAAAACTCCATAGAGACTTGTTTGTGGAAGACAAGTAACGCGTGGGGTGAGTGGTTAGAGACTCAGGATCCGTGCAGGTGCAGGCCGAGAGGCAGCCCCTGAGGACCTTTGGGCAGGTCCCTCCATATTTATTCTGGTTTCTTTTTGTTGATGTTTCCAACCTATTTCTTTATTCTCAGTTCTGGAGGACTGGGTGCTAAAAGCACTTGGGACAGGGTGACAGGTGGTACCCATTTGTTCTGCAAGTGTTGACTGAACCCTGATGATGTCCCAGGTACAGCACTGTGCTAAGGAGATAGGAAATATTTCCACATTCCATGATATTCTAGAACTGCTGCTGGTTTCATTTCAATTTTAAAAATATGGATACCTTCGATGAGACATCCGGAACTTGAAACAAAACCGGCAAACCTTCATCCTTCCAGGTGGAAGCCAGAAAAGTAGTAAAGGGATGCGCAGATCTAAGGAAACAAAACAAGACAAAGTTAGAAGGGCAGTCAATGGTTTGCAGAGCCAGGCCCTTGGTTGTTTCAGAGAGGACACAGGGACACCTCTGGAGTGGTTTCCCACTCTGATTCTGGAGCATCCTGCCCAGGAAGGAGCGCCCAGAAGACAGCTCTGTCCCTTTTGTTTTGAAGTAACCAGTGATAGTTCTAGATTGTCAGACAGTGTACAAATAAGGCAGGAAAAAGGTTATTCATAAAAGCAGAAAGGAAAGGAGTGAAATGCACCCCGGGTCTCCTGGAAAAGTCTGCTTTAATGTTTTCTGCATTGAACAAGTGCTGGTCCTTTCGTGCCCGGCCTGATTTCCTGGAGATTATGTCTCTAGGCTGAGATAATTGACTTGCTTCCTCTCACTGAACATCTCCCTCCAACCCCTCTTCCTCTGGAACATTCTTTCCAGTTAGCAAGTTACTCAGGGATGCTAGTGGCAACACCAATTCTCTTCACAGGGTGACCCACCTCGCTTGCTACTGAAATTCATTTTATCACAGAATGAGGAGCCAATGCCTAGGGGTGGGGCTGGCAATCACCAACTGTCCTTTGTGCAGCCCTGTGCCTGTCCTTGGCATCCAAGAAATGGGAACTTGGAATGCTGTAGTTTTGCCAAGAATGTCTCTCCTCTCTAATGAGAAAAGATTTCATTGTTCATTTAAAGCAAAGGCATGTAGGAAGAGTTTGAGGTTCATGAAGCATCTACTGTTTCATTTCTCCTCTCCACTTCCCTGGGACCTGTGAGACTCTGGAGGTGGGTCTGACTTGAGCTCTTTTTGTACTTTGTCTTAGATATGGGAATAGGCTGCCTTGAACTTGTCACCCAAAAGCTGTCCAGGAAGGCCAGTTTAGAATTGCTCAGGCATGCAATAAACTCACACAAACCACCTCAGTGTCACCTCAGAGGCTTCGAAGGCTGAGTGTGGCTTCATCAGTCAGGCCAGCCTGGGAGAGTCCTTGGAAGGAAGGAGGTCTGGTTAGGTGCTTCCCACCAGAGCCTGGCCCTACCTCCTCCAAAGCCTCGGTCTTTCCAGAGCTCAGTGGGGGCGTGCCACGAGCACACTTCACTAAATGTTCTTTTATCTTTTTCAGACCATTCTGTTGGGACTGCTTGCCCAAGACTATGTAGTACTCAGGGCACATGGAGAACTGTCTCCCAAGGTCTAAGAAAAGACTTTTGCCCAAAATAAACAGTTTGGAACCTAGAGCTTTGAACAGACGAGGAGTTTAAAACCCTTAAGAACTGGTGACGCCTCACCTGTCCTTTCCCCTTCCACAGGTTCTGCATTCCCGTCTTGCCTCCTGAGAGCTTGGGGAAACCCAGGTGCTGTCCATCATCTTAGAATCCCCGTGAAGTGAGGAGGCTCTCTTTCTCCAAACAGAGGCTGAAATTGCTACCCAGGCCCCCCAGCATAGACATGAGCAGAGTTTTGCTGCCTACTGTGGGGAATTTCTCCTTGCTGCTAGCTTGTTTGGCCATCGGGAGGAAAAACCGCCCCTCCCTTCCCAGCTGGCTGTTGATAAACTGTCCTCTCGGACACTCCAGGACTTGGCTGTGAAAATAAACAGGTGCTGAGAAGGCCCAGTTGTGTTCTGGGCCTGCCTTTCTCAAGGCCCGCCCTGCCCTGTCCCTACCTTCTCCTGAAGGCTTGTATAATCAGAAAACAAGGGAGCTGGTGGCAGGAGAAGCAGACATTGGTGTGCTTTGCTCCTGGCTGCAGGGACAGGTCTGACAGGCATGGGGGTAGTGTGGGGTGGTGGGAGGTTAGCCTATTAGATGTCGAAAACTAGCAGCTTCACATTTAAAAAAATCTAAATTTCTACTTAGAATAACCAGTAGAGTTGGTCACTGGACTCATATACCTGCAGGTGACACTGAAGGGATAGAGGGCAGGCTGTCACTTTGGTCAGGAGATGATCCCCTATTCATTGCAACCTTCATTGGCCAGTTCTACTCATTATGCTATCCCCCTGACTGTGAGCATATGATTTGTGCCCCATCCCCAACTGAAAGATGCTAAACTGCCATCACTCATGCTGACCCTTAATAAGAACTATATTACATAGGACTTTTATTTCCTAAAGCAAGCCTTCGGATTAACTGAACTTTTGATTGCCTATTTTTATATATTTGAAGTTATGTAAAAATAACAGACATAAACGATACACACTCATACACTTTGAAAATACATGAAACTGCCTAACTGCTTACTAAGAATGTGGTGTTTTAAAGTGAAGCAAAGCAAAGGCACATGCTATTGAAGTTGGAATGTGGAGAGAGTGTTAGGATGTCCCTCGTGGAGAGTTGCTTATCTGTGGGCAGGATGGCACATGGCATGTACCAACAAGAGAGAATTTTCTTTTCAGACAGTATGCTCTTTCTAGCCAGCTGCTTCCATGCCAGGGAGCCAGCCCTGTTCAGTCTATAATGTGCATATGAAATTGCCTCTGGGCTGCCTTTCCCTGCTTTCTCTCATTTACTCTACATCATTTCACACTACCCTTCCATTTCCCCAGAGCAGGGCTGGAACCCATGACTAGGAACCATTGTAGCAAAAATGAGGGAAGAATGAGGAATCCCAGTTATTTCAAGTAGAAGCTGAAATTCTCCCTACACACAAATTCCCCCAATGTTGCAAAACACAAATATGTGTTCTATATTAGTTTGATTAGAAGAGGTAGGGCTGAGGAGGTTGGAGGAGAGCCTGACAGTTAAATACAGGCAGCTGCTACTCTAAAAAGATGGGAAACCGTAGTTCTAGACTTCTGAGGGTTAAAATCTGAAAATTTCAAACTAACTATGAGGAGAAGGTAGGGGCAATGAGGCAGGTGGGAGTGTTTTGAGAGGTGGTGACTAGGGGTACACTTCTCTTGCACTGTTGAGTGTGGTGGTAGAGAAGAAGTTGTTCCGGGTCTCATCTCCTCCACTCAGGCTTCTACCCAGACTTCACTTTTGCCTGAGAAACCCAGGACATTTTTGATTGTTGAGCACTTGACTTGGTTTCTGGACTGAGCAGATGTATCCCTCCAATACCCTCTCCCTTAAGAAAACTTCTCCCACAAGAACTTTCAGGAAAGCTTTGCCTCAGTTGAGGAATTACCTTTTGGGGAGGCTGAGAACTAATGGCTTGTTCATGTGGCTGGTCTCATTAAGCCAAGGAACCTTATCAAATTTTGGAACAGAAACCTAAAGAGGAACAAAAAGAGATCATTTTGCAGTTTATCAGTTGACCACTGTTGTCCTAACAATGACCAGAGTAAGCTAGTAGTGGCCATGTAGCAGTCCACAGTTTACAAGACATTTTTACATTTTGTATTTGACTCTCAACCATCCCATAAAGTAAAAGAGCAAATAAGTGCTATCTCCGTTTTTCAGATGAAGAAGTCAAAGCTCAGACAGTGTGAACTGCAGCTACCAATGGGATCGTGTTTTCTGACCTCCCTGTCCACTCTGCCCTGGGTGCGGCTGTCTGCCTTGGCTTCCTTCCTACTCCCATCTGTTTGTGAATCCCTTAGCCCTTCCAAGAAGTCGGCTGAATATGAGCAATCTCCTGCCCAAGCCTCTGGCTGTGTTTTCGGAGGCAGGACTCTCGGTCCTCACCCTTCAGAAGGCCAAGCTTAGGGGAGAGCCCCTACAACTGGGCCTTACTGACCTCAGCCAAGCTTTAGACCCTTAAAACCTTTCCCACGATATCTCCACCGCAAAGGTCAGTGAACAAGGAAGCAAGCTCCATGGGAGCGGGGATTTTTATCTGTGCCGATCACTGCGGCATCCCAAGCACCAAAGGCACTGGAGGTCTGTCACGACAGGCATGGATGCGCGGGAAGTCCCTGTGCCAGGGCCGGTCATTCTCTCTTGCACTGGGCTGGGATTCGCCCTTCCAAGGCCGGCCCTTTCGGCCTCCGACCGGTCTCCAAAGAGGAGCAGCCAGTAGGGGGCAGCAGCGGCCTCACGCGGCGCGGCGCGGCGAGCTCTTGCCGTGGACCGACGGGACCCGGAAGTGCTCGCCGCAGCCCCAGGCGGCTCCCCGGAAGGGGAAGTCGGTGGGCGGCCGCCCGCTTCGGCCGTGCACCCTAGGAACTCGAAGGCAGGTGGGTTCCGTGCGCGCGTCAGTGTTTCGTTCCTCTTGCTCTGCGGTCCCCTGCAGGCCCCAGACGGGGGTGGCCCGGCGGTGAGCGAGGCTCCCCCGGGGACATCCCTTCCCGACCCCTGCGCGGCTCTGCGGACCCCTCGGCCCCGCTGCGGTGAGGGGGGCGTGCCCGGCGATACCTGCGTGGTCCGCGCGGAAGGCGTGAGTCGGGCAGCGAGCGCTCCTCTGGGGTTTGCTGAGGACACTGGTGCTGCCCGAGCGTCCCGGTGTCACTGAGGGTCTTCCTGGAGCCTCAGGGTCCCGCTGCCGAGCGGGGATGATGGCCCTCCAGAGGGAGGTGCGCCCCGTTAGGTTCTGGCTTCTTGGCGGCCTTGGGCCTGGCTCTCACCCTGGGAGCGCGTCCCTCTTCCCGTGTGCAGCCTGGAGTGGGTGCCCCTGCGAACCCAGTGAGAGCTGTGGGCTCTGTCCCTGTTAATTTGCATAAATTGCATATGCAGGCCTGCAGTGGCGCTCACCTGGGTAGGGGACCTTTGGGTTAAGACTGGTGTAGAGGGAGACGATGGGGTGAGGCGCAGATCAGACTTTGGTTGCAGTCTTGTCACTCTGGGCCAGAAATGCTCAAGCAATTTGGATCTCCTCTGTTTTACTAAAAAACGGGACCAATACCTTGTGAAGATTAAGTAAAAGTGCCTAGGCATTTAGCACAGTAGACACTCCAAGTGATGGCTAGCAGGTATATATTGTTCAAGGAATTATAGTTTAAAAATTGGAAGTGAAGTTTTAATATCCCAGATTATAAAATGGCCACCACATTCATTTTATGTAGACTTGTAGTAACCTGAGTTGGTTTAATTTTCGTCTCAGTTCTACTCTGACCTTTGACAACTTTCATATTTTCACAGGTCTCTTTTTCTAGGAGTTTGTCTGTGTTGTCTTGCCTCAGAGAACAACTGCACCCATTGTGGGCCTAGCCTGGGTTGCTGCCTTTGAAAACAAGGAAAGGTGGGTAGATAACTGCATGGAATTTCCAGAGAAGTCTTATTTCAAAAAAAAAGGAAAACCACATGGGCTTACTTGAGGGAGATTGAACTGGCCTGAGTTTAAGGGAAAGGAGAAGATAATGTGTGCCCAATCTATAACTAGCACCAAGGAGGCCAAGTGGCAGAAGGTCTTGTATGAGCGGCAGCCCTTCCCTGATAACTATGTGGACCGGCGGTTCCTGGAAGAGCTCCGGAAAAACATCTATGCCCGAAAATACCAATATTGGGCTGTGGTATTTGAGTCCAGTGTGGTGATACAACAGCTGTGCAGCGTCTGTGTTTTTGTGGTCATCTGGTGGTATATGGATGAGGGTCTTTTGGCCCCCCACTGGCTCTTTGGAACTGGCCTGGCATCTTCATTGATGGGATATGTTTTGTTTGATCTCATTGATGGTGGTGAAGGGCGGAAAAAGAGTGGCCGGACCCGATGGGCTGACCTGAAGAGTGCCCTAGTCTTCGTTGCTTTCACTTACGGTTTTTCACCAGTGCTGAAGACCCTGACAGAGTCCGTTAGCACTGACACCATCTATGCCATGTCAGTCTTCATGCTGTTGGGCCACCTCATCTTCTTTGACTATGGAGCCAATGCCGCCATTGTATCCAGCACACTGTCCTTGAACATGGCCATCTTTGCTTCTGTCTGCCTGGCCTCACGTCTTCCCCGGTCGGTGCATGCCTTCGTCATGGTGACGTTTGCCATCCAGATTTTTGCACTGTGGCCCATGTTACAGAAGAAACTGAAGGCCTGTACTCCCCGTAGCTATGTGGGGGTCACAATGCTTTTTGCCTTCTCAGCCCTGGGAGGCCTGCTCTCCATTAGTGCAGTGGGAGCCATACTCTTCGCTCTTCTGTTGGTTTCCATCTCCTGTCTCTGCCCTTTCTATCTCATTCGCCTGCAGCTTTTTAAAGAGAACATTCATGGGCCTTGGGATGAAGCTGAAATCAAAGAAGACTTGTCCAGGTTCCTCAGCTAAGTTAGGGACCCCATTACACTATTAAGGCAAAGTGATAGACTGGTATCCTAACCAGCATAAAATTGGAAGGCAGAGCCCTTCTGGAAGCAGCAGGCTGATGTGGATGAGATAACAGAAGAAAAAATTGACAAAGGCTTGGGTGGTGAAGGTGTCATTTTATGATTAAAAGCTTTCTGGTGCCCTCTTGAATTATTGCCTCTCATCTATCATTCACCATAACAGATGATGTGGTCTGTATTAAAAAACAACACATCCATCAAGTTGTCTCATGACTTTTCTGAAAGCAGAAGGCAAAGGGGGTGTGAAGAGAGAATAAAATGTATGTTTGGTAAAGACACTTCTCTTAGTTTTTTCAGGGTACTCATGTAGGCTTTTATTTTTCTAGAGCTCAAATCCTAGGACTTGTGTCCAGATTTGTTGCCCAAGATCACAGAAGTGGTCATTACCCTTGATTCAGAGTGTCTACTTAGTTCTAGGTGAGGCATGTATAGTACTAATAAGGGAGGGTGAGATTGCCATAAGGCACATGAAGAATGTTAGGGGAATTCAGAAGAGGCTAGAGAGAAATTTATCTGGAATTAGAGACATTTATCAGCAGTGGAGTCATTTAAACTTCGTCTTGGAGGGTGGGTGGGATTTAGTTAGGCAAAGGGTGGTTTTAGGGAAGTGTGGCAAAGGTCTTTTGGGGCCAGATAAGTAACGTGAGTGACAGTGGAAAACTGGAGAATGCAAGCCCTGTCCCAGGAGGGTGACTGCCACTCTGTTCCAACTGATTGTTTCTGCTCAGTTGGGCTTTTCTTGAGACTTCAGAATTCCAGATAAAATTTTCAATGAAATCTCAATAGCTGTAAATCTGATTTTTAATATGAAGTCTGATTTGTAAAATCCATCTCTAATTTAAACTAACTGGGCCAAAAAATTCATTTGCAGGCAAAATGTGACTACTTCTTTGCTATATCTGTTATTTGCACAGGTGCAGAGATGGAGAGTTATGGGTGTTTAGGGTCAGAGAATGGTGGTGGGGAGCTTTGGGGAAAAGCGTGGGAAGCTTGAATAGTGATTGAGGGTCTGTGAATAGTTAGTCATCTGAGCGCTGTGTTGCAGGCAGTGGGGATCAGTACAGCTTGTCCAAGGAAGTAGTGAGGGATCAGATATTGGATTCATTATGTAATTGTTGTGTGTCTCAGTTTTCAGTTGTAAAATGTGAATGAAAGATCTCTAGAAGTGATGAAGCTATACAAAGTGTTTTGAAGAATGCCTAACACAAATACTATGTTAGTGTTAGTTGCAGCTTGAGCATCCCTAGTCCAGAAATCCAAAATGCTCCAAAGTCTGAAATGTTTTGAGTACCAACGTTATGCCCTGGTGGAAAATCCTATACCATGAAACTGTTGCACAAAATTATTTTAAAATGTATGAAATTGCCTAACTATGTGTATAAGGTATATGTGAGACTAATTTCATGGTTAGACTTGGCTCCCATGCCAAGATCTTATGTAAATATTCCAAAATGTGAAAATATCAGAACCCCAAATGCTTCTAGTCCCAAGCATTTTGTGTAAGGCGTGCTCTGCCTGTGTTATTGTTACTAAGTTGATGTGCAGGGGAACTGGGCAGAGGCCAGAAGCAAAGTTCATCAGGTGCCCACAGAAGAGCTGGTTCTTCCTGAGGTAGTTCCTGTACTGGCCCCTTTTGGCTGGAAATTCATTTCAATTCAGAATTTTCATCAGGGAGGTGTTATCCTAAGAATAAATGTTTCTATTTTTCTTAACCTAAGATTTCTCAAAAATGAATCGAACAGGATTTGGAACTAGTTTCTTCAGCGGTGTCATCTCAAATTCTTTTTCTGATTTTTTTTTTTTTTAAATAGATGAATATTTCGGGATAAAAATGGGTGGTTTCCCAGAGGTCACTTAGATTGCTTTCACAGACCCAGCAGCACTGGTGATGGAACAGAAGGGACTCAGACCTGTGCAACTGCATCCATATTAGCTGAAAGTTCCCCAAATTTTAACCAGTTTCAAGAGTAGTTCCTCAGTGGGGTGCATGAAGGTGCCTGCTGTCTTTTTTAGCTCTTTCCTGTCACACAGTGCCTGTTCTTAATTTAGAGATTCACAAGGAGCACATGCAAGGATGCACATGAAGCCATCATTCACACTTTACCAGCCAGTCTCCAGGACAAGAAAAGCAAAGTCAGCAGAGGGCATCAGTTACACAATTATACACATTTCAAGCTCACTGAGTTCAGGGAAGCAGGTCTGCGACAGTACCATCTTGTGGACATTATTGGTATTCCTTTTTAGAATGATATTCAGTAAGATGATTGAAATTCTTGATGAATTTTGGTTTGGGAAATAACTGAGAACTGACGGTTGGGTTTTAAAGGAGGAGGTTACTGGTGTCCTTGAAAAGAGCAGGTCATGGTGCAGTGGTGGGAATGACCTACTGGAGTGTGTTTGAGAGAGAACAGAGAGGAATTGGAGCAGCAAGTACAGGCAGCTTTCTGGAAGTTTTGTTTCAAGGGAAACTGGGATATAGTAGAGAAAATGAAAGGGAAAGTGAAGGTCAGAACCGGCAGCCTGCTTCTGCAGATGGAAACGGGGACACGGAGCGGGTAATGGTGGTGTGTGAGAAGGGGAGCCCAAGAGGCCCAAGCGGGAGGTGGGATCTAGTGGCGCAGGAAGATGGTGGACAGGCAGGGATGGCCATCCATGGGGCAATGGAGGATGGAGGGTGTGGGTGCAGGTGGGATAAGAGGGTAGATGAGGCATGGGACTCTGAAGTTCCTTTCTGATTGCTTCAATCATCTCAGTGGAAGTGGAGGCAAGGAATCAGGTGAGAATGACGAGGAGGGGAGATGGGCTGAGCAGAGAGGTGTGAGGAGCTCGTTCAGACTGGGAGGAAGACTGCTGATGTAAGTTCCAGAGTTCACGGCAGACTGGTGGGAGTGGGAGTGAGTTTGGGGAGCCTCCTTTTCACCTTGAAAAGAGATGTGGTCTGGGAGTGAGGGCTCCTTCAGCCCTCACATCATCAGGACCACGTCTTGATGGTGCACTAACAGGAGTGTGTGCTCTTCTCTGGGTGGTGTGTGTTTTCACAGGGGCTCTTTGGAGATAATGTGCCAACTTCCCACAGCAGGCAGTGTCTCTCTGGTGTTCTGGAAAGCCCCCAGTTCTCACTAAGTGATGTGAACTTAACCAGGGTTTAACCAAGACCCTGTGGAAGGGGGCCTGAGGAGCCCACTCCTTTAGCCAGTGGGAGGGCTCAGAGCACTCAGTGCAGGGCGAGGCCAGTGCAGGGGCACCTGTCAGGGTGCTGCTTTAGACCCAGCCAACACTTGGGCTTTGTGTTTCTCTCACAATTCCCAGCAACCATGCATGTTGGTTTGTTTACCTTGGGAAACAGCAACAACTGCCAGCAAACCCAGTGCCATTCCCTTCCAGGTGTATTGCTATGTCGGCTGGTGGAGGAACTGAGAAGCCACCCAGCTGCCAGCACTGCGGCCCAAGGGCCCACAACCCTCTTGGGTTGTGCCTCCTCATGCCTGTAGGGTCATGCAGGAAGGGGCTAGAAAAGCAAATGGCACCAACTGGCACTGAGGTTCCCAGGCCCCCAGGATCAGCCCATGGCCTTCTGCCCTGAACAGACTAGCCCTACAGTTCTTTGACCATAATGCTGGTAGGATGATGGAACAAATTGATTTCAGCAGTGCTGGGGTTGAAGGGAACAATGGTCCCATGGGCCCCTTAAAAAGCTGGCTTAGAGGCTCTGCTTTCTTTCCCAAGCTCGGCAGGCTCACTGCTCGCCATTCATTCCAGGATGGGTCTGTGCCCAAGTCACATTTGGACTCTGGTAAGTAAGAACACAACAGGCCTCCTGCTGTTTTTAAATTGCCACATGTACAGATCTCTTAGGCCTGAGGAAGCTTTTGAGTATGTAGCTGAGAGCGTTTTTGTCTTTAAAAGGGAAAAGGCAGGCAAAAGCAACTGTCCCCTGGCCCCCACGTGCTCTCCACTGCCTTCTGAAATATGCTGGAGGAGAAAGTGGAGCCCCTCGAGCCTGGACCGGGGGGCTCAGTAGTGTTACACCAGCTTCCAGATGCTACTCCTTCAGCTGCTGTTTTGAGGGGCAGAACCTGCATCAGTGCCTCCTTAGTCACCCTGTGGAGGGCCCTTGCGTGTCTTCCGCCTCTGGGGTTTGTGAAGGTGCTCTTTCCTTTGTCTTGTGACACATGTTCATGGGTTTCACTGAACATGTGAACAGGGCTGAAAATCAGGCCTGATGTAAAGTACCCTGAAATGTGATTAAGAACTGAGTGTGGAAGAAGCAGTTTGTCATCTTGACTCATCCGGTAACCCGCCTGACACCTGGCCTGATATCTTAACGTGTGACCGTAATATGACAAAAAGGCCTATACTATGATATGTAGGGGGCCGGGCCCTCCAACGGGCACACAGCGGTTAACGTAGATAGTTCAGTGGATTCACTCAGATACAGATTCCTGTGATAAAAGAACTACAGAAACTATTTTCTTTTCCAGCAATCTTAAGTTTCTGTGAGTTTCATTCATATATATATATATATTTCCCCCCCCCCCCCACAGTTGGGAAGGTTTACTTCAGAATCTCAGGAAACCGGACTAAAGAATCCAATATCTATGTGAGTTAGGCCAATGTTGAGTTATAGGCCAAATGTTGGCAAGTACAGCTGTTCTTCAAACCACAGGACAAAGATCATTTTGCTCCCACCCATTGAAGTCTGCTCGCCTGTAATAAGCACAGGTACTTCCTTACCTCCTCTGGCTTCCAGGTTCTAGGATGTCTGTTGAAACCCCCTTGATGAACAGCGGTCCCCAAGGCTCATAGATGTTTACTTACCAGGGAGGCCCCATGAGGGAAGGATTGGATATTGTGGTTTTCCTACCTTTAGTTTTTTCTTTTCCATCTCCTTGATTCTGGGTTTTTCCAGCTGTGGAATGGGGAACACCAGCTCCCCTCCCTGCTGCCAGTTGAAGATGGCTCTAGAGTCACCTTCTTGAATCCAAAGCCTCTTGGTTAGGAGCCAAAGTAAGTTGGCAGACCACTTCACAGTTTCAATACCATTATGCCTTTTTCTGAACCAACACCTGTGGATTTAGAGTCTTGCATTACATACTCTATTAGGGATGGGAAATTTGGTCTTTGATTGGCTGAAATGAGTTCCAGATTTCTTTCTTCATCAGAAGTCACAATCACCATGTTCTGGAACATGAACCTGTTAGGGCAAGCAGGTCATATAGTTCTAGAACTCAATAGCTGTCTTCCCAGAAAGATCATAGCACTCAGCTATAATTACTTCTTAAGCCATTTTATAAGCTACTTTTATCTTGTAACTTCTTTGGTATTCCTGATGTCTAGGGCATTCTGAGAATTCAGGAGTGACAATACTTACAGAATATTATTTATTTATTAAAGATATAATAGTTGGGTTCTTCATGACCAGAGTTCTGATCAACTCTGAGGAATGCAGTACCTTTCCAGTTTTCTATCAAATACAGAGGGTGGAGGAGGAGACAGGGACAGAAAGTCCCTTGTTGGAGAAGGGCCTGCTATGAAACACGGGGACACTATTGACAGTACATACATATCGACAATCCTTAGCACGGTTAACTGTACCGCAGGCTGCTCCCTCCCCTGATTGCCCCCTTTCTATTCTTGCCTATAAAATGAGAGGAAGGGAGGCTGAGGGAGATCGTCATTTTGTTCTGCTCTGACTGGATTTTTCTCCTTGTCCATTAGGTCAACTTAACTGTCAAGACATCTGAACTGGGCAACACTGTAGAAAAATAAGTCCAAGTTTTAGACAAAGTGTAAAAGTACCAAACACTTAAAAAGGATGAATTGGGAAAAAGCCCTTCCCCCTACCAACCTGTTTTTGAGTGGGGAGGTGGTAGAAACTAGCCTAGGAATACCTTGTGTTGGGGTGAATGCCACATGTCTGGTGGGGTGTCTTCCAGTAAGAATGCTGACTGAAAACCAAAGGCCTGGACTGGGGTGGGGGCAGGCAAGGGACAGCATGCCATGCCTCCAGGTACACCTGTGGTCAGCTGAATGCCTTGCTTTGGACCCTTTGAACTTTGGCCCTGGCTCTACCTGGTCACCACTGAGCCTGGGATACAGTAGATAGGAGGTAACATGTGATGGGAAACCTTTAGCCTGAGAAACTGGTTTTGCATTTTGAGTAGAGAATTCAGTTCTCATAAAATTATATTTTCATGGTCCAGAGCAAGAGCCCAGTTAGTGAGGGGTCTCCATTTTCCAGCTGGCAGGTCCTGCCCACCTCTCCTCCTGCCTTTCTTGCCCGGGCTCTTGAGGTCCACATAAAGGCAATGCCAGGGATGACCTACTTTTTGACTCTCTTATGTCAAAAGTGATTTAATTCAAGAAAGGCTACTTTTAAATTCTAATCTGGGCCACATAAATCTTCAAACAGAAAATTCTGATTTAAACTAAAAACCCTTGAGATGGCTGCTACATAACTGGCAGGTTGGACTGTGTTGTCTTAATAGTAAACGTTTTATTTGGACAAATCTTTGGGACGCTTTAATGGCCTAAAATTCCAATGTTGGATTATCATTTGAGGACTGAGACATAAAAGTGTTCTCTTCCCTCTCACTTGTGTAGATCCATTTTCTAGATCTTTTCTGACATGGCAAAGCCTCCCGAGGTGGCCAGATTTCCTTCCTGATGTGGTTTCTTTACCCCCAAATTTGCCAGAAAGAATTTGTGGGGTTGTATGTTTCAGGCCTTGAGTTTCTCACATGATCTTCCATATTTTATCTCCTCCTCTAAGAGTGTTTAGAAAAAATAATACCAATAAAAAATATTTTTGGTGTAGTAAGAATAATGGGATTCCTGGAGGCAACTAAAATCATTCAGTCTCATTTCTCTAGGCATCTAGAATTTTCCTTCATTCTTTCACTCTTTGTGTTGAGTGGGCATTTCAGTTGAAGATGATTATTGTTGCCTGGCAAGGAGCATCTTAAATCACAATGCTCCAACAATGTAAATATTATGTTCCTTAAGATATCAAATTATGCAGTTTTTCACCTTACCTGTTTTTTGTTGAGACATATTCTAATTTGAGTCTTCTTTAGAAAATGAAACAGAACACTTTTCATTTTTTTATATAGAATAAAATTTTTTAATTATAGACATGGATCAAAAATAAAAGCTTTTATGTACATATGACATATAGTGCAAACAAAAGGTTTTTAAATACCATGGATGGACATGTTGTTGGAAACAAAAGGAGATGAATGATGGGGATTAGGATGGTCGTCCAGGAACGGCAGGAGGGGGTCGCCTAGTGAAAACAAAACAAAGCAAATAACAAAAAGAAAACACAGATACAGAGGGAGAAAACAATGTTTAAATTATGAAATAAAATAATAGCATGCAAAAATATCCCACAAAAGCCAAATGCAAATCAGACAAAAAACAGGCAGACATGCAGGGACATGTAAGAACACCAAGTGGCCAAATTAGCAGTTCCCAGAACTCTCCCCGATACAGCAGCATGCGAGGTGCCAGCCATTGAGCCTGCTCGGAAATCCTATTATTTTGCATCAGAGAACTACAAATCATGCAATTATATGTAGGAGAGCTAAGAAGAGTACCTGGGCTAAATACCTGTATAACTCGTACATTTGTTTCCCGGTCCTGATTTTGTGACTCTATTTCCAAAGACTTAAGTGGATATTGTGAACTCTCCACAGGGGCAGAGGCACTTGATATAGAAATATGGCAGGTGAAATTTTTTCTAAAGTGAGGGAAATAGCAAGGTTTCAGGAAATCAAGTGAATTATGAAATTACAGTGCAGAAGGTGTCAGGGGTTAATCTCACAGAAAAGGATTTATTTAGAAACAAGAGTTTGCTGCAGGTGAAGAGTCCTGACATGTGATAGCTCAGAATCGGGCCTCAGGACACTAAGTAGGCCCGGGCTGGTCCTTGATGACCACAGGATTTTGTAGAATTTCCTGCTGAGAGTTAGATGCAGCTCATATTCTGATTTATTCTCAAGTGGGTCAGGGTAAAGCTGGTTTTCTGGATATTTCTCCACATTCTTAACCTGACCTGCATCTCATCAGGCCCAGGGATTGTGAAGTCAGAGTTGTGCTTCATCTTGAACCTCAGCCTGTTTGCCAGGAGGATGATTTGCAGTGACTGAAGCTACGGAGACGCCTTCATTGAACAGCTCTGTTGTAGACAAAGAGCAGGCCAAGTAAAGCTTTCCCACTGGCTTCCAGCAGAAGTCTGCATTTTAGACCATCTCTAACGGCGTCGGTGATGAACTCAACATTACAGCAAGCCAGAGGACTGTGAGCTATCTGTACCCCACTCTGGACTTTGCTGTGGCTGCTCATCCCTGTGCAACATGCTTCCACCTCAGTTTACAAAACGCCAGGAAGTGAAGCAATACAGTCTACAAAAAGCAAAACCAAAACAAACAAACAAACAAAAAACACTTTTTTTTTTTAAACCTTCTGTTAATAGAGTCAAACTGAACAGGCTATTTCTGAGCAGTGATAAAGTCCAAGGCCAATCTTTTTTGTTGGTCCAATTTAAGCTGGTTACACTGAGACCTCCATCCATTTAAATGATGAAGAGCTTGTTATTAGCACTAACCTTTCAACTGTGGGGGGTCTGCAAGCCTTTGGCTGGTGAGACCCAGGGAATGGGTATCCCTGGTTCTTTCATGAAGAAAGTGTAATTGAATTTCTGTCAGGCTCAATGAGATTTATCACCTGCCCAGCAAACAGAAACTATTTTTGAGCTCTGAAGGGGCTTCAGAACAGTTTAATGACCTCAGCAGGGTGGGGAGGTGAGCCATTAAGGCTGACAGCAAGTCCACGGTGATGAAGGGGCATCTGGGAACAAGGGCCAGGATGCTCGCTGGGCAGCTAGGCTGGTGTTGCAGTGCAGAAATAGGATCAGAAACTTTGGGACTTGAAGTGCATTTCACCAACAGCTAGAGCATTTGCTGCAAATATCAGAGTGACCCTCAGGCCCTGGGCACGGTTGTTTCCACCTTCACGTGCATCTAGCTTTCCTCTCTGCCAAGTGTTGTCAAGGCTGACAAACTTGATGGGTCGGAGTCAGTTGTATCCTGGACCTGGGCAGTTTGGGTTTTTGCTGTTTCTTTTCCAGAATCCCTTACACATTATTTGAATTCATATTTGAAATTTCTGAACATATTTGAAATTTCGTACATGTAGAGCTAAGAAGGTGCCTCATGCTTTCATGTTGTTGTTCCGCCATCCCCACCCCCAGCCCCGGCTCAGCAGCATGGAGGTGGGAGTACTAAATGGCGGTACTGATCGGCTAACCAGTAGACTAGGATTTGCCATATAAGCAAATCTGTCTAATCAAGATTATAATTTCAAGTTATATTTTCTTCAGCATCCTGAAAAATAACTTCCACAGAACTGTTTGGCCAAAGCCTCAAGGAGAATCTGTATATGGATCATGGGCATAATTTATATTTGAGTCAATTTTTACTCAAAATGACAAATTATCCATTATTCTCTCGGATATATCTCAATGCTGTGAATTAGTCTGATGGTGACACTTCTTCTGGCAAGATTCCTAGAAAAAGCTTTCTATGAAAAATCTCATAAACCATTCTCTGCTTGCTCCGATGGCCCCTAATTTAGGAAATTTCATATCTCAGAAAAGTGCATGAGTCTGAAGGTTGGGGAAGATGAGGAAAGAAAGGCAAAGCAACAGGTATTCTTCTCCTTCCTTCTCTGATGATCTCGGACCTGAAATCAAGTTGGATCTGTCGTCACAATAATCTCATGAAGGTACCGTGATTAATTTAACGTAGCTCTTTTGCAGAACATGGTGGGTAAGTCAGAAACAGTCTGAACTCTTTGCGAGGCTCATTAAGGCTTGTTGCATGTGTCTCTAGTCTGTTTCCAAGTTTCCTGATCCCATGGGACCTGCCTCCTGGGGACTCAGACATGACTGTGAAGAGGCACCAGAGCTCCAAGAGGACTGTCCTCAGTTGAAAACTCTTGAGGCCCTTATACTTGATTTTGTCACTCAGCTTTTTGTTGCTGACCATCCATACTGGGACAGTCACACCTAATGACTTTTTCTCTTGCCTAAAGACACAGAAGCAGAGTGCATGTGCCTCAGAACACTACTTCTCTGAGCTGTGCTTGAATAAAGCTTCTATGATTAGATGAGAAACATGAAGACACTACTCCTTTCTTGGAGATTCACAATGGGCTCTGATTTTTTTTTCCTTCCAGTAAAAATCAATTTAATTTTTAGTCATTGTCTCCCAGAGCATATTTGACCAAGAGCTCTGTTGGTGGGTGAGTATATAAAACTTTAAAAATCTCAGGGAATGAACTTTGGGAAACTTTGGATGAAGGTTGTAGTTTCAGCTGCTATCTCTTACATGTGTTCCAATTATTAAACTCCCTAGTGAAAGAACAGATCCAAAAAGCCAAAATTCTAGGTGTGCTGGAGTATGGGGAGCAGGGGATGAGGTCAGATACTGTTCTCAACGTGAAATGTAAGGATTCCCACAGAAAAACCAGAATCTTGAATACAAATCAAGCAGAGATTTATACTGATGCCAGAACTGTTTTTAAAAACCAAGTGGAATTTTGCCAAATAAGGTTCTAAGCTTTGGGTAGGTTTCCTTAGAAACTATTCTGAATACGTTATTAACATCCTTTGGATTCATGCAGTGGAAACACAAGTGTGCAGTCTGGCTCTCCTTGGAACCCCTCTTCCAGGTGAAACTGCCTCTGAAGTAGGGGAGCTCCATCATGGAAACACCATGGACATAGATGAGGACATCACAACAAGGTCACGTGTGCTCACACCTGACCAGTCCAACTCCTCTCTTCACAGACAGCACATCCTGATAGTGGAGAGAAGATAAACCTACAGTTCTTTCTGCCTGTCCCTTGTCTTCTGCATTTGGGGCTGTGTGAACCACTCATAAAGGTCTCAGCACCAGGGAAACCAGAAGGTCAGTGTCCCCCCCACCCCCACCCACTGAGCAGTAACTGAGGCCAACTGTTGGTCTAGGAGCTCATTATTTGCTGCAGGAAATGCCTTGTGTTGACCTAACATTTAGCCAGAGCATCATTCCCCCTTCTACCCTCCTGTATTTTACACATGATGCTTCCTTTTCAGTGGCAAACTGTCAGGGTGCTTCTTGTTAAAAGTCACATCAAACCCTCTGGCTGTCTCAAGTTTTTTGACAATTTCTTCAATCTATTCCAACAATTTCTGCAAATTAGAGGAAAAATATCTCCCACTCTTCTGCCTTTTATTTGTCCAAACTGTTCTATTTAAAAATCTCCTCTTTTCCCAAATTAATGACCAAAAAGAAAAATGTTGCTATTCTCCACTTTGATAATTCTGGACCAATTGGAGCAAAACAGCTATAAGTTGTTAACAGTCTCAGGCGTTACTCAAAGGTACAAGGATTCAAAGATATACAAGAATTAGGAAAGAAGAGATCCTTCAAATGTTATAATTTATTTCAGGTTCAGAAATACAGCTTCACATTTTCACAATAGGTACATGTGACCTTCAGGAATGACACAGACTTTAGAAATTTGCTTCAAAAATTCCATTCAGAGTCCATATATCAGCAGTAAGAAATCCTGAAAGTGCCAAGACGACAGTGGAAAGTACTCTGGCTCATGTTAATTAAAGAATCAACAGAAAAGAATCGATTTGTTTTTGTATACTTTGTAAAAAAAAACAAAAAGAGGAATTTGATTCAGAAAAGGGAGAGAGAATGAACATAGATAAGCACAACAAAGGCTGTACACGTGAAATAAAATGCAAATCAAGTTAACAGGGGTAGGATTTCTGGTTGGGAGAAATAATTCTTACAGACTGGCAGCAGTCAATGCAAGAGGGCAGGGTAATTTGGGTCCTAATTTTACAAACATTACATAATGAGCAAAGTTGAAGGAATTTAAGGGTAAAGATTAAACAGAAATCGACACCTTGAGCTGAGTCATGTATGAATCCTCCACCAGAGTGAAGTCTCACCAACACACCAGTGTGGACAGGTCTGAAGACAATAAGGGGCTCCTCCTTGCATTTCCACTCTTGCTCCCTCATGTATATTCTTGCACATATCCACAAGCACACGCGCGCGCATACATACACACACACACACACACACACAGAGTGCAAGGCATATCTAGCGCACTTCAAAAATAGTCTTAAAGTTTCACACGCAGAGCACCACATAATTGTAAGCATACCAGCTAGACAGAGGACTAAGATCATCCAGGAGAATGTTTGAGCTCTTTGGAAAGGACTGGGTGATCTGGTGAACTATCTGTTGCTTCTCTAAAGTCACCCGCCTCATTCCCACCAAGCTGAGCTCACAGCTGGCAATCCTCTCAGTGGAACAATACAAAACTCAGGGCACGAGACTCGTCTATTATTTTCTTTCAGTGAATTCAGCTGAGAGACCTACTTTTTAGACTTCATTCTTAATCGTAAGGAGATTCCAGTCAATTTTAAATAATTACACCATTTGCCAAAGGTAAGATGTTTACCTGGAAAAGTAGAGAACCTACTTCCAAGGAATTAAGTAACTTCTCCCCCCATTTTTTGCAAATTTTACTTAGAGAAATCCACGACTTTTATTATGTTGCTGAATATCTGTTTTTTTTTAATACTTAGTGTATAAGAAAACAACTGTATAGCATAACTTTACTTTTTAAGATTCAGCTCAGCAATCTGGAATTAACTTGTAATTTTACCTAGAGATCTAAAAGGAAGGTTTCCAGATCCTACTTATCAAACTACATGGTTTAAGGTCATTTCTTCTTTGACAGCAGTGCTGTGGGTTTTTGTATACCTGCCTGGACTTGTTGTCTGCCTTACTGTGAGCTCTGGGCCTCTCAGAATAAATGCAATCCGCAGTCAGGAGATTAGGCAGACAGCAAACTAGTGTCACCCCATGTAATGGCAGATCCCCCAAACACCTCTTGGATTAGCACAATTTAAAAAATATATTCCTACGCACACATACTGAGCACGTGGATATAGATATTTACACCCGTACGTATGCACATATGTACAACACACAGAACAATCACTTTCATGCTTGTGGCACTTTGACGAGTGCTTTTAAATCTACTTATTCAAGGGGACACAAAATACATGTACTCACAGAAATTTACTCTGCATATATTGTATATGTAGAGACACATGCATAGAAAATGTGTTTGTACACAGAAACATTAACATTTATCACAAACTGGTGTTAGGTCCCATTTCATATTTAAGAATTATGGCTACAGTCTATACTAAATAGTCATAAGTCAATCTGTGTGACTACTTTTAAATTCTAAATCCAGAAGGCTTATAATTATATCACAGGAACTGGTTTCCTTATGTTTGGGGGTAGAATGACTTTGCATCTGAACAAATAGCAAATTTGCTAATAAATCGACCCTACTGCTCTTTTATGTTATGAAACACAGCTAAAAGCAATATTCAGAAGGGTATTATTCGTAGATGATTTTTGGAAATGTAATATACCTGGTCTAAATCAATACTATCTTAATAATCTGTCCACAATTGAGTAAATGGTTATTCCAAATGGTCAATGTGCATGCAAGATTTAGCACGTGACAATAAAACTAGATGTACTTATGAAATAAACATACACAGTTCATGTTTTTAATCCTAAAAACAGTGATTTTTAAGATAATGCTAGACAAGATGGAGCTACATTATCTTGTCGACAGCCTCAGAGCCGTCAGTAAGAAGTTACACAGCAGATTAGAAATGGAACGGGGATACTCGGCTCCTTGAACTACAGTCCCATCTTAAGGCCTGATGCGTATGCTGCACCTATCACCATGCACGCTGCAGAGTCCTTCCCATTGGCATCTCCTAGCAGGACGCAGCCAACTGAAAATATTTTCCAATGTGACTGCTGAAATTCCAGGGGGACTGGATTCTATTAGACATAATGTAGGAGTGAAAAAGGATACAAATGCACCCACAGAGGGAGGCAACCGAGACAGTGTGAATGTGGTACTATAATCTAAAAGCAAAAGCCAAAGATGACAAATGCCATTGTTCATGACTGTCTACGATCAGTGGAAGGAGACCTGGAAAAAAAATCCCCCACTTCCTTTGACATAGTTTGTGCTGATCTGAGAACACACCAGTGGCTGTGGTTGCCCACAATATTTTCCTCTTAACAGAAGGAAATTTTTGAAATACAGCAAAATGCAAAACCACATTTAGCAGAAAGCCAAACCCTGAAGTATATGATTCGTTAGCTGCCTATTTTATAGAATTCAAAGGAAGAAGCAAAGGGAATCCTAAAAAGAGGGTGTTTTATGAAAAGATCTCACTGCGGATTATTTTACCATGTCTATTTACTTAACATTTTCCCACTTATCTGGGACACTATTTTTAAAATACTCTCTGTATCTTGCATGTTGGTTCCATTCGCAGAAAAAATAAAATACGAGGGGATGAAGGGTGTTGATGTGCTCTCTATACTCACTTGTAATTTTAAAAGTTGAAATGTCCTTTTGGTAAACCTCGTATTCTTTAACTTTTGCTAGCTGTAACCCTTTAGAATACAATCAACATAATGCCATTCAACTTGGCAAGTCCTCTTTTTAATAATGGTTAAACATCTTTACTTCATACTTTATGGGTATCTGCTTTGGGTATAAACTACACAGGAAATTAAAGTTAAGTTAACATACAAATCATGTCCACTGCTTTCAAAGGGAGACATTTCAGTTAGTACAACCTGATTTACTTCCGTAGAATATGAAATAATGTCATGGGACGCTGCGAGTCAGTGAATACTTGCTCTGCTGTCTGGGGAACAGTTAGCAGACAAAATTCCAACTGGCTTCTGGCTGATTCCTACATGTTAATCATCTGGTTGTAGGTAGTTCAAAACTGAGCCTCAAGACTGAACTATTAACCTCCCAGCTAAGCTGTTCTTGTAAATTTTAGAAATTGCAAATTTGCCTTGGATCTCGATGTTTCAATTCCATTTTTCTGGAGTGGTTTGGACGGGGACCCTGAGGTTCACCTGTAAAAGGGTGAGCTCTACTTCACACCTTGGCCTCTCTCGCCAACTTTTCTTTCCATCGTGACTATCTCACAGAAAGCCTCAAGGTTTATTAAGAAAGCCTAGAATGGACAGGACACTAAGCCTGATTTAAAGGTATTCTTACATGATCATTAATATGTAAATAATGTAGGGGAATTGCAAATTAGCATGGAAAGAAAATTTTTGCTCCAACCAAAGTAACAAGAATAAACTGGAGTTCATGTCAAAGTATAGTTAGCCATGCCAAAAATTAGATCTACTGGAAAAACTGAACATTTTCCATGTCAGCTTCCACTGTAACCTTCTAGGAGAAGGTGAATAAAGCGAACAAAGAAATTATATTTTCCAGATGTTTTTTGAGATGCGATTATTTGCTTCTTCCTTGAATTCCGAAACTAGCTAAATCTATTAACTGATTATCCCAAACAGGCTTTGATTCACTGTTGCACATGCTTCAAGTGTGAAGCAAAACACGTGGGCACCAGGTGAAGCTCTCTAGACTAAACAGAGCAGACTTTTCCTTTGCAAACTAATTTGTGCTTCTGGAAAAGTTTTCTTCTTAAGGAATCCTACAGTCTTATGAAATAAAGAAAGAAAGAGGAGCTAACTATAGGGTAGGTGATAGCAATGATAATATACAACAGAATTTCTGCCATCCTACATGGGATGTGGGAAAAGAAATATGTATGGCTTAGTTCTAAGCACACTATCTCATTTCCATTAAGAATTATACTTAATGTGCTACCTGGTAGATGGCCTGCAAAACTTGTCTGAAGCCATCGCAAATGTATGCCAGGCAAGGTAAATGATACCCAAAGTAGAGGACTGCCACACACAACCTACCTGGGTCAGTACAACATACAAAGCCTCTGCAGGTAGCAGTTATGGAGGGTCAAACCCCAAAGGTTTGACATACCTTGAGCAACGAAGGTGAGTGATGAATGCATTAGTAAAACTGGTTACTTGCCTACTGATGTCCACACATGCGATACTCATGATTTGCTGCAACAGCTATCAAATATGTTGCTTTCACGTAATCGTTAGTGATTAATTGCCATGCCAGACACTTCATTTAGTCTAACAGGGAGGATTCTAGTGGACGGATTATAGTGGGGCGAGTTGGCGATGGGGGTGGTCTCCGGCTAGAAAGAGAGAAAGAGACAGGTGAAGAAACAAGTCGAAGAGCTGAGAGTTGTACCCAAGGACACCAAAAGAGAGCCATCATGCACATGCTCATGCAGTACCGGCCAGCAGGAGTGGCAGCAATCAGTAATGACCTCAACATTGCCGCCTTTCGAACATCCAGCAGCTATCAGTGACAATCAGGTATTTTTTTTTTATTATGCAAATCTTTCTCAAAACCAAAGTCATTCCTTCCAATACTAATGAAAAAACATGAAACCATCTGAAACACAGCAAACGTCTCTCGGCAAAGAGCGGAAAGATCGTGTGGCGTGAACTGTGCTGGGCTGTGCCTGCTCCAGGAACCGACAGGACCTGAGTCTCAGACAATGTGTGTGGAATTTTCCTTCCTCTATAGCTCTGTCAGGATGTTAGTTCCCCCTTCTCATGGCCTGTAGCAGTAGCTTTCTCTAACCCGTTCTATATTGTGCTTCTAATTTGCAGGGCACTAGAAAATCAGAATATGGAGGCTTTTAGAGTTCTCTACAAGCTTTAACAGGCTCAGCGTGACTGCCTGAGTAAACTGCAGGAGCTCTGGTTCTTGTTTGGGGTCCCAAAGGTTTTGTTATTAGTGATGGCAGCGGGGTTTCTGATAGCTGAGTGGACACCCCCCAGGTAATTGGATATTATTGTACTTGAAACTCTCAGCATCACTAAGTAATGTTATTTGTTCTCTGAACTCCTTTATCTCTTTGCTTAGTGCATCATGTGTGCATATGGAGAACGTTCATATGAAGAACACTGGGAGTGGGTTTTATTACCCACTCCCACAATTCAACAAATTCTACAAATCGAAACCTTTCTTCCTGATTTTTCCAAAGACCCTTTCTGGAGTTAAAGTGCTGTCCTTGTTTTTCTGTCCCTCCTCGGATATGGAGAAGTGAAGTTAGAACACTCAGGCAAATATTTATGAAATTTTAAAGTTTAAGAATCCGCTCCCTGCTGTCCAGTGGTTGGAACTGGCGCTGTCACTGCTGTGGCCCAAGTTGACTTGCATCCCGGTTAGGCGCCCCTCCCCCATAATCACACAGCTATAAAATAAAACTAGATGGCCAAGGAAAAAAATCAAACCAGAAGAGAGATTGATGATCAGTGGTGAGAACGCCGACTGCTTGGTCACAGTCTCAGAGGTATCAATGGGGTTCCTTTTACCTCCCATCTCTGAAGAATGTCTAAGATGCTTTAAAATAAACCTTTTCTGTGAAGGCATGTTCCAATTTAATATCCTTAAATAGACAGTTTTTCTTTATTAAACAGATGCTCAATTTTTTAAAAGAGTGCTTAGGGATACTTTACAGGCACAGTAAAACCTACTTAGGTCACTACTAGTTGTTTAATTTAGTATTCAAAAAAGTCCTCTTCCTGCACAAAGGCGACCGTGACCACCTGAGAGGTTTTGGCAACTGGGAAAAATCGTCTCACAACTTCCTTTTTAGTTATCGCCATGCAAAACCACCTGCTCTTTTGCTAGTATACTGATCACTTTTGTTTAAAGTGGCCAAATTTCCCTAACTTGTGTCCTGAATCTGAAGCTGTGTAGTGTGAGAAAACCAGAGACTCAAGACTCCCCTTGTGAAGCCTGCTCTGTCCCGGTACAGTTGCTTCTGTGGGAGCTCAACATGTCTCAGTTACTCCCCATCACCTGGAATTCTGATTAGGGTTATCTGTTTGCCCTCCCTGGTGACAAAGGGGCTGCATCTTAGTCATTGTCAAGTTCCTGCAGCATTTGGCTCACTGTTTATCATTCAGTGAATGTTTGACAACAGAATAAATGACAGCTACTTCTGGAAGTGAGGCATAACTCATGAGTGCTCATGATGCTCATTGGTCTCACCACGACCCAAAGGTATTAGTAAGTCATAAATGTGGAAGAAAAAAGCAAAGTGGTGTGTAGGGCTGAGACTCTTGGAAATATTACTTATAACGTATTTGCTCAATTCTTCAGTGGGTGTTTGCATAGATACCAAATGATAGGACTCCCTGCCCTTGGGGAGTTTGAAAAGTAACCAGGTAACCTCTGGAGATAACATTTGTAGTGATTAAGCAGTCATGGGGGTAGACAGTTGGCCACAATTTAAACTTGAAGCAGGGAAACTCTACCAGATAGTAATGAAATTAATAGACAATTTCATTTGGAAAAAAAATAGATCTCAGGCTAGAAATTAGCAAGAGGCAGGTCACAGAATGGTGTGGTAAACTGGACATTGTTTTATGGGAATGAGACAGCCTAGACCAAGGGTGGTAACTAGATGAATGGATGCTCATGGGTCCTCTTTTGGTCCTTTTTTTTGGCTTGAATGTCATTCTTCTGTCCTTCCAGACTAGCCTGTGATTCCCCTCCTCCCCACCACCCATCACTTCATAGTGTCTGTGAATTTCATAGCATTTAGCTCTGTGATCGTATGTTTAATAGATCATTGCCTGTGCTCCCCCAGAGGTTAAAGTCCCTTGAGAAGAGACACCTGTGTTGCATTTATTATGTATATTCAGCATTTAGTACAATGTGGTTATAGGACAGCAGATAAATATTTGTTGAATAGTGGACAAATAAAAGACGGAGAGGTGCCTAATGAAGACGTTTATCCAGGGTAGGATAGAGGCCAGGTCAAGGCGAGCAGGCCCGATGAGGCCGGGGATAACATGTGGCTGAGGCCATGGTCAGTGGCTTAAGTTGGAGGCAATATGTTTACACAGCAAAAGTCCTGGGCCAGAAGTCAGAGGATGTGGATTCTAACTCCAGTTGGCAAATTGTGCAGTCAGGAACCCACAAAACATCTCTAGGCCTCAGTTTTCTCACCTGAGATGCAGGGAACCCAGCTGGGTGATATGCCATGGGATTCCTAGCTACATATTGCAGGAATGACTTCATGATGAGCATGTGCTGTGAGGATTGCACCCTGCTGTATGGTTTTAAGGAGCTCAGGATCTATCCAGAGTGGCAGATGGGTGGAATAAGACAAACGCGCAAGGGGTTTTACACTAGTACCACATTTCAAGAATGGAATGATGGGGAAAGTTCTGTAATCCATGGCCTGAGAGTGTACTCCAAAGAAGCTCAGAAATAGAATGTTGTTAGGACAAGGGCAAACAGGATTTTGAATGCTGCTTATCCAAGTTGGAAGTTGTAAGGGAACGTGGGTCTACAATGAGTGCAAGAGACTGGAAATTAAACGATGAGAATTGAAGGGGAGGGTTCAATGGTGGGATGGAGAATGGGGGAACTCCGTGCTCTGATGGCACAGCACATTCTCATTAGCCTTCATCCGTCCTTGGCCATGCTGATGGGATAAAAGGCCAACAGCAGCAGCAGCTGCGTAAGGAAGAAGGCGCAGGAGAACACACACTCCTGGTTGTGCCTGGTCTGCTGTTGGTTTTGTTCATTACCCAGAACTCAGCATGGTCCTTGAATCATTGTATCTTTTTTCCCCAAAATAAATGAGGAAATTCTCTTCAAGGGTATCCCTAGGCTTTGTGTTGAAAAAGGCTTTGATAGCCGTCAGTGAACTAAAGATTGGAAGAATAAGACACAATTTCCATACTGTTCTCTCAAAATGATGAAGATGTCTTTGAAATATGCCCAGTTTCAGGTTAAAGAACCCACATATGTACTTAGTAATTAAAAATTCTAAAGAGCCCCCAACTCAGCCTTCTGGAAGAAACGAGCATTATTTTATTTCTGAGACAATAAAAACAGTGATCTATGTGTAAAAGTCTACTAGAAAGCAACTCAAGAGAAGCAATTCAGGGTGAATTGCCTTGATAAGCCAAGGTGCTTGCCAACTGCAACACTAGAAAGACAATTAAGGTTCATATTCAAGTTCATTTCATTGGTCCAGCTCTTAACCATTTAAAGAGTTTCCAAAGACATTCACCTCAGAAGACAGTTTGTTTCGGGCAAAGCAAAGTCATTTGTTTTGTACCCAATTTTCCTCAGTTGCTTTGTTTAGTGATGGCTTCGTTAAGAAACCCATTATATTAAAGTGGAGCATCTTGTATCATTTAGTATTTATTGAAACACTGTGGTGTGTGTGGGTGGTTTATGGTTACGATAGAAGAGCCATATTTCTGCTTCCAAATCAAAGGGAAGATGTAATACTGGGAGTTGCTTTTTGTAGCTGCAGGGATGGATCTTTTATAGTACTTTTGACAATGGCAAATTTTGTAAGAAAGTCAAATGCTCACGCAGGGTGGGTGGCATTGTGGGCAGAAAAAATGGCTTCACTGATAAGAGGAAAAAAATCATCAGTTGCCTTCTTCTCTCATTTTATCGTCTTTTAAGAATAGAAGAAATGAAATTCCCCCTGCCCTTCTTTGGGTTAGCTGGCCTGGAGTGCTCATGCCGTGTGGCCAGTCAGGCCAGGGAAACTTCTACAGGGCAACGCCTGTGGTGTCTTGGCCTGGGGCCAGGCTGGGACTGCTGTGTGTTTGGTGTCTGGCTTCTGCATTCCAGGTTGCACAACCTGGATTTCCAAAATGGCTCGTCTTTCTGCAGACTGCGGCCTACCCAGATCTCATGACCCACAGGCCAGGATTCGTCCTCTCATGCCCCTCTACTGGTATGGTCTAGGCAGTGGTTCTCAAAGTGCCCCTGGCTTGGGGAGTCCCTGGAGGGCTTCTTAGAACCAGGTTGCTAGGTTCTACCCAGAGTTGCTAAGGGGTGGGACATTTCTAACAAGTTACCCATGATGCTGAGCTGCTGGTCCTGTTTTGAGAACCACTGTGGTTTATGGAAACGGTACAGACAGCAAACATGTCTAACTGTGCATTCCAGTTCTCACCTTTGGGAGGGTATGTTTGAAACCCAATCTAATTAGGTGACTCCCCTGAAAAAAAAAATTCAAAAAAGGTACACAAAGGTCGACACTTCCAGAGATGTCTGCCCACGAGGATAGTTATTTGTATAAAAAATGACACACAGGTTTCTTTTATGCTACAAGTTCTGCTTATCAAATATACTCAA